TTTATTGGAGCAATAATGCCTGGGTCATATGCACACACATATCCATACACCATAAGCCAATAACGGACAGGTAAGTATGATAAGAAAATGGTATATGGCATAAAAACAAAGACCACTAGACCTCCTCTTGGTCTCAGTGGTCTGGAAGTCACACTTGCTACTTGGCTCCACTTGCTACTTGGAGCCAAAGTAGCAAGTGTGACTTCCAGACCACTGAGACCAAGAGGAGGTCTAGTGGTCTTTGTTTTTATGCCATTGCCGGGTTAGTACCATTTTCTTTCATACTTACCTGTCCGTTATTGGCTTATGGTGTATGGATATGTGTTGCATATGACCCAGGCATTATTGCTCCAATAAAGTTTTGATAGTACCACACTATTGGCGTTACTCTCCTGTTGGGAGAGTGCAGATACACATCTTCCATTCTTGGGGTGTCTGGAGCCAAAAAAGGGGGATCTCTGTCTTTCAGATCTGGAGATATTCCAAGGCGCATGAGAGTGTGGAGGAGGAGGATTCGTGTGGTCTCTGGAGCTGTATAACCTGGCTGGTCTTTTGGAGTATATCTGCGCATTTTAATTCGGTGAGTGCGCAAGCACCACAATGAAACTGACCTGCACATATTTGATTTTATTGACTTTATTGTCATGAGAAAGACTTTTATATATTTTATACCTTATTTTATACCTTATTTCATTACATTTTCAGCGCTGCAACTATATATATATAATGTCTCTACTATGAGGTTTAGTGATCCCTTGAAGTGTTCTAGCAGCTGGTTTTTCTGAGCGCTCGCTATATTCATTATCTATAGTAATAATTATTCAAATAACCTTAATACATTCCTAACCATACAATACAAATGTTGTAAATCTTAGTAAGTTTGAAATATAAAAGAAAATTACAATATTTGGCACAGTCTCACCACTCCCAGAATCTCTATTTTTGAGGCCTCCCAGTGGGATGCAGTTGGGAAAAGAAATGTTTCTGGTCAGTCAGGCACCAGAATTAAAATGAGCATCAGCGTCTCTGGTGAAAACCTTTTCCTTCAAAACGGCCTTCAAAACAAAATGGCAGCTGGAAGTTCTCAGCAAAATGGCCGCAGGTAGCAAGTGAGTATAGTGCAGTATATAGCAGTAGTAGAGTAATTAAGAAGTAGTTTCAGAAGTAGTAAGAAGTGATGAAGTGATTTAGCGATGATTTCAGAAGTGATGATTCAGAAGTTTTTTTTTGTTTTTTTTTAAGTTGTCTTCAATTTGAGGTGTGTGGCATTTTATACCATACAAGTCCTTTGTTCCGAAGGACCTCCCAACGGGCTTGTTGATTGGACGGTTGAAAAGTTTGCGTACCTATAGAAGTTCCTTACCTGTCCACCAGGGACAGTCAGGTATTACAAATGAACTGGTGATCTTAATGATGACTCACCCTTTGATATAAACAGCATGTCTTTATGGATAAAATAAATGGGTCCTATTCAAGTATAAATGATTTCCCTACTAACTCTCGAATAAGGACCATAGACATATGTGCATATATTTGGTTTCTCATTTTTCTGATATATGAACTGTATTGGGATGGCTGATTTCCTTTGGAAATATAGAACTTACCCAACTCACAAACCATCTTATATTTTATAACTTCAATCTTCAGTTGAGTGGAATGCAGTACCCAACTTTGTTGAATAGATTTTGGTGTGTGGGTATATACCTTTGATAATATTTCAGTTGATATATACCAAGCTTCTTTTTTTTTTTTTTGTTTTGTAATTTTAAATGAATCAAGTTTCACCTTATGCTGAATGCGCAGTTCAAGGAGATGTGACATAGGAAGCTTCATCCATTGTTGGGTAATTGGGGTGAACAGATTGGACTGGAGTTTAACCTCAGTATTCAATAGCTGATTGTGATAGCTCAGAGGTTTTGTTTGGTGATCACACACCTTCCAAGGTTTTGGGAGAATTACAGGCAATAAGGACTTAGTCCCACGATTGCCAAACTTTGGTACTGTGTTTGATCATCTGCAGAAATTCAGATAGTCGTGTTTTAACCTTATTGTATCTTAAGTCTCTTCCACTCATTGTTTATGGTAGCTTCCTGGAAGGTCACCTGAAATCAACCATTTAACCCATGACAGTCAGCTTTTAGGATGTTCTTTTGGGTAATATCATTTTTCTTAATAAATAGTCCAAAAGTCATCACATGAGGGACATTCAGGAACGTCCATGAGCAGAGGAAAGATGGCTTCTGCTCATCTCTATGGCCAGCCACCACCATTGCCGGATCGGTTTCTGGGCTCTGGGCTTCCCAATGAGCCAGGTAAGCCCGAGAACCACTAGAAAGCAGCTGGAGGGGGGGTGTTTAATTAGCTGTTTGGAAAGGTCGGTGGCTGCAGAAAATTTACCGGGGTTATGGCACCTAGCTGCAGCCATAACCCTGGTATTAATCAGTAAAGTATTGACGTATTTTTCCAGTTAGGTGGTTGGCAATTGGATAGTATCGATGCTGGTGTGACCCTTTCAAGTGAATAGGGCAACACTGCAACTGCCCTGCAGCCATGTGCAAAGTTGCAGCAAAGCAGGCAGTGAGGAGGCAACATATCACCCCCTCACTGCCTGTCAAGCAACCTCTGAAAAGTGATCCACTGCAACTAGCCACACATGTGAAGGAGCCCTATGACCGTGGTCCTAACAGTAGAATATTTCTGCTGGTAAGAGGTTGACAGTCTGCAAGATAGAATAGCACTTGGCCAGAAAGAGATCACTTTAATGCAGTTGGCCAGCTTGAACATGTATTGCAACATATGTGAACTAAGAATTCCCATTTTAGGGTCAATATCCTTTTTTAGCATTTTGTGTGCTGTATATATGGAAACTATTTAGGAACTGAACACTCATACCCCCTATTTTATACTGCACAGTGCAGGTCAGTAATTTTAAAGGGCAGGGATGCTGGAAGTTGCTGGATTATTCTTTGATTATGCAGTAAGTTATGCTTACTGTGTTGTAACCCCTTTTTGTGGTTTTATTTTTTTAAAGATCTGTTTATTGGTTTTAGTAACATTGACAAACAGACAAGTGTAGACCCACACAGGGGCATCATGGGATAATGATTATCCAGACAGTCAACACATGGGATGTACACTTGAACACATGAGCTCTAAAGGCGTGGCCTAAGGTCTCCTGCCAGGAAGTGAGTGCATATAGTGCGAAGCACAAAGTAAATTGGATGTCAAAATACCCAGATAGCCATACATACAGTAAAGAAGCACTTTTAGGATTTAGTAATGGCCACTGAAGGCTCTGCAAGCCACTTGGGCCAAACCCTGTCATATTTCTTAGGACAGCCTCTGTGTATATAAGTGTCTTTTATATAGAGGTAATCTAGCATTTACTAGTTGCTTGCAAAAGGAGATGGTTGGGGAGTGGATTTCTTCCAGTGTAAGGTGAAGACCTTTCTTGTGCAGAAAAGTAAACGACTAGCTAGGGTCTGGTCAGCTATTGTGGGAATTAGGTTTTCAAATAGGCTCAACAAACAAGGTCGACATGGTGGGTCTTAAAGGGATGGACATCAGTTTGTTAATTAGAGCCATTACCTCCTCCCAGAATCCGGAGACTGAGGGACAATACCAGAAGATGTGGGAGAAGTCTCCTAGGGAATGACCACCATGCCTGAGGATGGGATGGATTCATTTTGTGGAGTCTATATGGAGTGTAGTAGGACCTGTCAGGAATCTTAAATTGTATAAGCCGATTTCGTAATGAGACTAGAGATCGGAAGGGAAGGTCCCAAATTTCATTCGAGTCATTATCCATGTCTGTGATGTCCCTCAGCCACCTATCTCAGAGGCCCTCCAGCACAGGCAGGGACACTGACACAAGATGGGCATATAAATGGGAGGTGGGTGCAATCTGATCTAAGCACCTGTTCTAAGTCAGACTGGAAGAGGGTGGGTGAAGCTCTGGAAAACTGAGCATGGGAGAGCTTCATTCTTTGATAATAAAATGTGAAGGGCACATTAAAGTCATGGAGAAGTTGGGCAAGGGATTTTAGGGTACCAATAATCACTACTTGGCAGATAGTCTTCATCTTGTATTTGGCCCAGTTGTTTGTGGGGTTTTTTTTTTTTTTAATTTAAAAGCGTACTTGTGTGTATGTATGAATCGCCTTGTTTTAGAAAAAGTAGATGATCTTCAGCTGGGGTTTGCATCTTCTTCAACGTACATTTTCGTCTGCATAGCATGATTCACAGCATATACAAGACACAGTGATACCTATGAAGCAAGGTCAGGTCTCGACAAAAGGCACCAGGTTGCCATGGCTACTAGAAATTGCATCCTGGCGCCTGGGTTCAAACACTGCCTCCCATGGGAAACCGTGCCCCATAGACTTTGATTGGAAAACCATCTGTCAATAACAATCCTAAGTGAACACTTATCTCCGCATGCAACTCTACTCTATCCCTTGCAAATCTGGAATGTACTACTACAAACTCAAACAGAATCCTTTTCATAATGGCACTCAAAACACAATGTGCATGGATCGCATCTGTGTGAACCACCTGAATAGGAACACAAAATAGCTAGCCTGTCATGTGAATTTGTGAGTTTCAAAACAAATACAGAATCGCATATGTGTGAACCAGGGCAGCTCCATTCACACCTCAGCATTTTGGGATCACAGCAGAATCGCTGTGATCGCCAAACGCAGGTTCAGGTGCCATTATTTTCAATGGCGTGGAAAACGTGGTGCGGTTTTGGCGTGATTGTCACGTGGCAAATCGCATCTCGTGAAGTCCTGGGCACTGACATCTCATGCTACACTGAAAAAAAAAAAAAAGCTGGCTCTTAACTTTTCGAGCTGGCTCCTAGATTCTAAGCAAATTTGTCAAGCCCTGGTGTACGGTACAGGCAGTTCCAAATCTAATAAAACTGTTTTTTTTTTACAAATGTACATTGACATTAAACTTGCCTCACTATTAGGAACTGCTGATCGTTCAGAAGAAAGATGGCAGATCAAGATCCCAGTAACCAGGACCTAAGCTTGATGGATAAGAAAATCACAAGGTAAGCTGTATAACTGTATCTGTTGGACATGAATAAAAAAAACAGCAACAACAACAAAAAACTGTTAAATGCAGTGGTTTTTGACAGCAATGCATCTCTTTCTATCCAGCTTACACAATAATAGTGCAAACTACAGTAACAAATGGTAACCAATCAGTTCATAGAAACATTTTTCCAAGAGAGAATTTCTGACTGGCTTCTTGTTTCCAATGATGTCAGTTCACAGCGTTACTGTGATGTGCATTGAATCAAAGTACTGCATGAGCACTTTTTCTCAGCACACTGCATTACAGTGCTGCTATGATGACAAAAAACTACAGTAAATCAAACAAAATGTCACTAGTGATATTTCAGAAAAGTTCTGTGGGGAAAAAAAAGTAAACGTAGCGATGCACCATGACTGGCACATTGGCAATGTATCTCTTGGCACACACCAGCAGCTGTGCAATCAGTGCGGCTCTCTGGTGTGTTAAAATTGTATTTATCACGTTCTACAGAAATATTTAAAATTTGCTGGGCTTTCTAAATGCATCTTGGGATATGAAAGCATTAAAATTCTACATAATAATCTAAAAATATAAGAAAAAACTATGATGTGGAACTCCAATAAAAACATTTTTTATTGTTTTTTTTTTTTTTTTTTAATGTTGGATAACTCAGAGAAAGGTTAGAACCTCCTTCAGGGTTTTATTGTTAACTGTATTCATATTGAACAGATTCCGATTTTACTTCTCACAGGTTACCACCACTAGGAAACAGAATAAAAAGTCATTTTCCCAAAACAGACAGCAGTAGAAACCTAGAAGAGGTTCTAACCGTTCCCAGCTCCCTAGCACCTTTGTTGTAAAAGTCTCTCCAACCCCCTTAGCCTCAGTAAATATGGTAGTCATGTGGCCAGGGTTATCCTTTACAGCAATAGTTGAAATTTGTATGTAACGTCAACAACCCATAGTTCTGCTCGTTGCTTGGCATGTCGTTTTCATAAAGGTGATCTCTCTTCATGTATCTTTTCAGCATATGTTTAGTTTGAATTGCCTACATTTATGACAAGTTAAGTTTACATTTTGAAAACTTGAATCTGTATGCCCTGTATTTGTACAACTTCTTTTCTTTTACCAGCCTGTTGGACCTTAATTTGAACCCATTCCTCCATTCAATCAATTTGCACTGTAATCAGATTTCTGAGATTGAAGGCCTTGTTCACTTGCGCAATTTACAGCATTTGGAACTGTCATCCAACCTAATAAGCAGGATTGATGGACTTGATACTCTGATACATCTTCAAACCCTAAGCTTGTCCTGCAACAAACTCACTAGAATAGAAGGTGTGTATTTTATGTAAATTCTATTCATATTGTATTCTGTCTACATGATGCATGTAACATTTCAAAATATATAGCCCAGGATTTTATCATTAGTACTAGGAAGAAGAGCATTGTGGGAAAGCGCAGACAGCCAATGTGATCTGTTATTGTTGTTCACATAACATCCCTTTACTTTTAGCTTCCAGTATGAGTGATCCTTCTAAGATAGCAGGTACATAGACATATTCTGTAAAACAGGGTTTAATTTGGTACCCCAGAATAGCCAATTGAAATTATTACTTTTAATGGTATATTCACACCAAATGGCCAGCTATTCCAGCGCAGTCCCGCCGCATGGCCCAGGCAAAATGCCTTGTCTCCTTTGTACCTGATTCACACCACTGTGTTGCGGAGGTGTGTGGGCACCTTGTACTGAGAAAAAGTTCTGTGTGCAGTACTTTTTCTCAGCACAGTGCAGTGCGAGGCAGTCCAGTGCCTCGCATCATGCAGCCGGCAGTCCACTGCTTCACATCATGCAGCCGGCAGTTGAACTTTAATATGTCTGTATTACATCTAAATAAAGGGGGGTTTTTAACCTCTTGCCAACTGCACACTGTAGTTTTTACTGCTACAGTGCTGGGCGGTTGCGCAGAATCATGCACATTTTATATGTGATTTTGCATTTCCGGGTAGGGTGCGCGCCCACCTGACTGTTCTGTCACTGGCTCCAGCACATGCCGATCGCCAGGTCCCGGCCACTGATTTATTGCCGGGACCCACCGATTGGTGGAGTGAGTGACAGGAGCGAGCTCTGTGTAGGTAAACAACACAGAACTCTCTACTGACAGTGGTGATGAACCAGTTTTTGTTTCCCTGCAACTCAGGGAATAAAAACCGGTACATCCCCTAGTAAAAGCACCACACAGTAAACACTTTACACACTAGGCATGAAGTTAATCCTTTGCCCCAGATGTTAACCCCTTCCCAACCAGTGTCATTAGTACAGTGTCAGTGTAAATTATTAGCACTGATCACTATATTAGTGTCACAGATGATGTTTCTCAGTTCCCCCCAGTGTCAGACTGCCCGTTGTACTATCACAGTCCTGCTATAAGTAGCTGATCATCGCCATTACTAATATAAAAATAAATCACTACAAATTCCAATAAATATCCCATAGTTTGTAGACACTATAACTTTCATGCAAATTAATATACGCTTCTTGGGATTTTTCTTTATCAAAAATATGTATACATTTTGGCCTAAATTTATGAAGAATTTAGATTTTTTTTTTTTTAATTTTATTGGATATCTTTTATAGCAGAAAGTAAAAAATATTGTTTTTTCTTTTTATGGTTTGTCATTTATATAATAATAAAAAAAAGCAAAAAAAAAACCAGCTGTGATCAAATGTGACCAAAATAAAGCTCTATTTGTGGGGAAGAAAATGTTATAAATTTAATTAAAAGTAGAGTTTCATGACCACGCAATTACCAGTTAAAATCGTGCAGTCCCAAATAGCAAAAAAATGGCCTGCTCCGCTAATTATCACCAATATTAGGAGTGGTATTTTTTGGAATAAATACTTTAACTTCTGGCCGCCCGACATGTCCTTAGCAACTGATGAAGTTACAGCTGTCTGTTTTGACAACAATAGTACAGAGAGAAGAGAGCGCCAGTAGGAGGTATGGGCCGAGCTCTCTGCCTCCTCTGTACACAGGCGTTAACAGAGGATCACTCACTTTGGGCTGTTGCCACTGCATCCCTGAGGACTCCTGGTGATACCCCAGGTGAAAAACACTGGTGTAAAGTACTCCTCTCTGACTGCAGGTTTGGGGCATTTTTTTTTTCTTTTCACCTTTCTAAAATACAAACCTAAACACCACAGTGGGCATGGACACATCAGCTGAATAGAGCTGTATTAAAAGGCATAAAAAAGAAATAAATGCATTTATTTCTTACAGGTACTTGTATAGCGCCGTCAAATTATGCAGCGCTTTACATATATATATATATATTGTTCATTAACATCAGTCCCTAACTCTCAAGGAGTGTACAATCTAAAGCCCCTAACTTACATTCATGCATACACATACTAGGACCATTTAGACCGGAGCCAATTAACCAGCATGTCTTTGGAGTGCGGGAGGAAACCCGAGAACCCCGAGGAAACCCACGCAGGCACACGGAGAACATGCAAACTCCAGGCAGGTGGTGCTGTGGTTGGGATTCAAACCAACGACCCAAGTACTGCCAGGCAGAAGTGCTAACCATTTAGCCACTGTGCTTTTTTACTGAAAGGAGAGGATGGTAGAACGGTTCACATTCTAAGATGTTGTATGTTTACATTGGGGACTGGGTTGGTACTTTCGGCCCTCTCTTTTTTTTCATACAATAAATGAATAAATATAAACGAAAAATGCTTCTAAAAAGCGTGTTTTGTTTTTTTTTTTTTTTTTTTTTTTTTTTCTGGCCGTGTGCACGAGGCTTAATTACATAAACATACAATCGTCAAAAGTTTTTTCCTGTTCTATGTGCTTCTTAATTTCAGCTTTTGCTGTTGATTTGTTTTTGTAGTCTTTTTGTAGTATCTCTTAAATGTTTTCTTCTAATTTACCTCAGGCCTGAATAAGTTATTAAATCTCAGGAAGCTGAATTTATCTTATAATCGCATACATGACCTTAGTGGTAAGTGGATCTTCAACCTCTGTTTCCTCAGTTTTTTTTTTGTTAGATTGTGAATTGCCAGTGAAGAGCTTTTATAAATGACCAGACATTTAAGGCGAGACATTTTAATGCAATAGAACGCTTCATCATCTCTGTTTGTGTAATGGGTTGTGACAGTAACATCTTTATGATAATATCACATCTCGCACGTTCCAGAAATGATTTGTATTTTCAAGCCTTTTAACATATTAGTGTATGAACGTATTATTGTTCAATCCAGACACAGTCAAAAACAAGGCGTAGATGCATCAATCTATTTTAATCTTTTTTTTTTTTTTTTCTTACTTTGCAGCATATAAGGTCATTTAGGGCAAAGCCCTCCAATATGGAGTATCTTTTAAATCCAGCTCATAGAACCCCTTCCTTTCCTCTGTTTTTTTTTTTTATTCTGGCTTCCCCTCTCAAAGTCCATAGAAGTTTTTTGTTATGCCTTCCAGCTGTTTATTCGGAGGACTGTCCTCTTGATTGTTCTCATGAATTTACTTTCCATTATTAAGTTCTGTGTCCGACTCCCCTTACTGCCTTTGCTTGTTCTGTGTTCCTGAACCTGCTCAATGAAGCTTGCTATGCTATCTTGAAAATGAATGTCTCCATACAAAAGTATTAATGAACTCTGCTGAGCACTCTTTGCATCTAAACTCTTCAGATAGCTGCCAGGCAATTTTAGAGAAACAGCCCTTACTGTGCCAAAATCACTAACCGTTTGAGGTGTGAAGAATTTAAGAATTCAAATGCTGATTGCTTTTACTTTTGTATTGTGTTTATTGTATAATGTTTAGGGCCTCATTCACACACAGCGTATTAATGTGTACTCCATGCAAGGGCTGTGTTTACTCGCAAGGTGTTCTGCGCATCCCCATGCAGATCGTTCCATTGATATCAATTGGAATGCAGCAGCTGAACATATACAGCCGCTGCTCTCAATATAGTGTGGGTGTGGGTGTAGGTCCCCGAACTCACACTGCCTGTGTTTGGTTCCATGCACCTGCACCCACACAGATGTCATATTGGGAGCAGTGGATGTATCTATGCAGGCACAATCGACATCAATGGGACTGCCTGCAAGGGGATGCACAGAACACCTGCGCATCACCATATGGTTAAACACAGCCCTGCACGATTGACATGCCCCATGTGAACAAGGCCTAAGGGGCTATGACTAGTCGTCATTGCTGCCTGTGGTATCCCTGCAACTGATCTTAACCCATAACTGACTTCCCGTGGCTTGTCCTTCACTGTGTCTGTTTGGAGGTGGGGATCTTGGCAGAGATAGGGCTTTGCTTTTCATGTGTGAGCCGCCAGCAAGGAGAACCGTGAACAGCATAGTGGTGACATCGGCAAATCTTCTGAGACCAACAGTCAGAAGCAGTGGTGTCTTAGATCTCACACTACAGATATAAAGTTAAGGGGCTGTAGACATAGGAGTGCCTAGGCACCCTTCTGTTAGGATACCAAATGCTGCACTTACAATGTTAACCTTAAAAAAAAAAAAGTGAACTAACACTGTACCCATGCAGCCGGTGCAGTGGTCCAAAGATTTAAAATCCCTGCTTTTCTCCATCTTGTTCCTGCAGTTTCCAGGACAAATCAGAGCGATGCTCTTTGCTGGCACTGACCAATCAGAACCGCTCTAATCTGTTCCGGAAGTGCTGCAGAAAGAAGGGGAAGAAGAGATGGGGTTTCAAATCCCCAGACTGCTGCATCAGTTCGTATGGGCACTGACAGTTCATCACCCACAGAGCTAAGTAGAAGTGGATACAATGTTCACCATTTTTTCTGAAAAGGTGAACTTGCTCTTTAATGAAACTGATACTAGACTGTGTATGGTTAAGTAAGTAATATTTATTAATGAAAAAGCAAAAACCCATCCAACACAGAAACAGAATACAAAGAAAAAGTGAAGATATAAGAAAAAAAAAAGTGAACAGTGTGCCAAGTGACAGTATACCTAATTCACCGGTATGTGGCACAAGTGCAAAACACTGGGGCACTAAGGGGAACTCCAGGAGGAGTTATGTACCTTCCCAGCAGCCAGCATCAGGTGGAAACTGATCACTGGGATCTGCTGGCTACTGGGAGACACTCGCTGGTGCACACCAGATTTCAACATTGTAGGATCCAGGTCCTGACTCTCGCATACCGGGAAGTGCACTGCTATTTTTCAGGAGGACTACCAAAGGTACATTTTTCAGAGTACGCTATGGCACACTTAACATTTCTAGATGTAAACTAGAACAAAACAAATCTCTTTTGAGTTCAGGTCCACTGTAGGTTAGTCAGCTAAAGGTATCATTTAAATGTCAAACTTTCTACATTTATATAAAAAAAAAAATAGGATAGTTTCTCTTTAATTTGATTGCTGGCAGCAGTGCTGTTGTTGTGTCCTCTAAAACCAGCTTAATATGTTTTAAAACTATGGTCAGGATCCACATTAATACCTGTTTTCACCATTCCCAGATTAGAGCTGAATGGTGCTTTTAAGGCTTTAAGAAAGCTACTTGAGTCTTTTCAAATGCTTTGCAACTGCTTTGTAAATGTTTGTTGATTCTGATTCCCCTCAGACTTTAGTAAGCTAAGATTAGCCACTTTCAGGCCGCTTGTCGCAAGGTACTGCGAATGGGTGTCAGCTACAGGATCAGTGACATACCCGTATATTGCTGGTGCTTTACCAACACAGGGGGTGGGAAAACGCACAACCCTCCCCCCCACGTCCACAGAGCGCAGCGGAATCAGAATCCCAGTAATCGGGATCCGATGATCATGTGATTGCTGTGCGCTCGCAATGACAGCAAAGCTTTTATGAGTCGGTCTGATTCATAATCGCTTTCCTTCTGTTCCTGGAGAGCTGTGATTGGTCCACAGCTCTCACATGGCACATGGGGCCAATTGCAGCAACCCTGTACCATGTGACCAGCACTGTATTTTGAACTGTCATGAACGTAAGACATTCATGCCAGTTCAAAGCAAGCTTTGCATTTCAAAACAATAATCTTTATTGCTCCTGCAATGCAAAGTGTAAAAATAAAAAATCCCTGATCACCCCCCAGAGTAGTACAATGTTACTATGGTACTATAAGTATTTAAAAAGAAAAAAAAATAGTAAAAAAAAGAAAAATAATGTTTTAAAAAATAATTGAAAAAATTAAAACTTTTTTTTAAAACTACTTGCTGCCCGTCTGCCAACAATGTGCGGGCAAGCAGCTGCTCTGGGCAAAGCAACATAATCTTACGTAATTTTCTATTTCCGGGTGTGTGTGCGCCCCCCCCACTGCCCCTTACGCTGTCCAGGGAGAGAAGAGGGAGCACGGCACGAGTAAAAGCACTACACTTTACACACACGTTAGATTAGTACAGTTAACCCTTTGATTGCCCTTATTAACCCTTCGATCACCTCGTCACCCAGCCAGCGTCATTAGTAGTGTCAGTACATATTTTTCACTGATCACTGTATTACTGCACTAGCAACATCAGATAGGGTAAGTTAGCACCCCTCTCAGCCAGGGTCAGCTAGTTTTAGATTGCCTGCACACTATAGGTCGCTGATCAATATATTGATCAAGAACAGAACTATACTAGTGCCTCCCTTTTATAACAACCCCAAAAACGCAGTGTTGGCAGGAACGTCCCCGTTCACTGCCAGCACTAGAGTTTAGCCCCTCTGCTGTTTTTCACAGTAGATTTGTATCAATTGATTGTGGGCCGAAGCATTTTATATGCACAACAATACATGGCTGCCCACCCATTTTCAGCTCTTGTCAGACAATTTGCATGGAAACCTCTCACGGCTTCCAAATGTAAAACTTTTTAGGGCCTAACCCTCAACATGGACATTACAAAAAAGAATGAATTGTGGTCATATTGGTTCACAGACCCGATTCATCATATGCCCGTGTTCTCTACTGTTACATATATGCCCAACATAGACCAGCAACGTCAATGAACTTTGAGTGGTTATAGCTACAGGCATCATCCTGGTATTGTTTTTTTCATTTCATCAGTTCCATTTCGCTTTTTCAAGCAGCAGGAAAGGACCCCCCCCCCATGCTACTTCCGCCTTCCAAGGTTTTCTTGGGCTCTCCCATCCCTCCGGAGAACTCAAAAATGCAGATAGCAGACTGGAATTCCTCCAATCATCTCTGTGGTCTGAGAAACCGGCAGCTATTAATATTTCATCATTTCCGTCTCACCAGATATAAACTGTGCCATTTTAAAATTGAGAAAGCATCTGATCACACCGATCTTTGTGTGATCAAATGCTTTAAGGGCAGAGGAGAGATCTAGAGTCTTAAGAGACCCCAGATTTCTCAGAAAAGAGTACCTGTTAATGCCTATTGCTATCACAGGGAAAAAAATGAAAGGGACAGTGTAAAATTTAACCGCTTAAGGATCGCCCTATAGCAGGTACAGTGTCAGTGCTTCTTATATTTTTTATTTTTTAGCACTGATCACTGTATTGGTGTCACTGGAGATGTGACAAAAAATTATATCAGCAAAATACTCACCATGCCTCTTATCAAATTCCTTGGGGTGTCGACTTTCCAAAAAGGGGTAATTTGGGGGGGGTGCTTGTACTATCTTGGCATTTTAGGGCTTCTGAAACTGTGCTAGGTAGTAAGGAAGTGATATTAGGAAATATGCCCTTTGAAAGCCTGTATGAAGGCCTGTATGTAGCTAGGCTGCCAAAAAGCCTCAAATGTGGTATCCCCATACTCCAGAGAAGTAGCAGAATGTGTTTTGGTGTGTGTTATACCCAATGCATGTGTGCGCAATATATCATTTCATTGACAATTTTGTGTTTAAAATAAAATTTAATTTTGCAAAAATTTGTGGCAAAAAATAAAATTTTCAATGGACTCAGCATGAATCTCAACAAAATCCTTGCGGTATCTACTTTCTACAGTGGGGTCTTTTTTTTGGGGAGGGGGGTTGTACTGCCCTGGCATTTTAGCACCTCAATAAATGTGATAGGCAGTCAGAAAGTAAAAGCTGCGTAAATTCCAATAAATATACTATATTTTGTAGACTCTATCACACAAACCAATAAACATGTATTCAGATTTTTTTTTTTTTTTTTACATGTACCTTATTACGTTTTGGCCTAAATTAATGACTAACCTTACATTTACTGGATATTTTTATAACTGAAAGAAAAAAAATATAGTGGGATTTTTTTATTTCACAATTTTCGTTCGTTTTTTCATTTATATCACAACAAATAAAAAACCCATTGGTGATCAAATACCACCAAAAGAAAGCTGAGCTCTGGGGAAAGAAAAAAAAAATTGCTTCTTTGAAGTAGGGCTGCTCCTGCACTGCAAGGGTTGAGGTAGTGGAGAATCAGGTAGTTCTTTTAGCAACTCCCTAGACTTAAACAAACATTTAACCCTTGCAGTATGGGAGCAACCACATTACAGGTAATCAATTTTTTTTCTCCTTAGATGGGCTTTAAAGTCTTACACAGTTGTATAGGCTCCTCTCCTGTACTGAAAACTCTAATTTTCACTGCACACTGTGAGCTTCTCACAATATACATTAGAAGATGAAGCAAATCAGATGGAGCCTGCTTCATTTCTTGGCCGGAGGACATTCAGTATAATTTAGTCTTTTCCATATCAGCCTGGCTATCCCTGCCCTTTTAAATGATTTAAAATCATTGGATTTTAGTTCTTTCAAATGTAGAGGCTGAGCATCACGTGTGAGATTATCTAGGGCACTCTGCATGTAAATGCGCCCTGATGGCCTCTCCCACTAACCAAAATCTGCCCACATTGCATAGAAAAGTACAGAAATTGAGTCACTGGGGCTATACTAAGTACTTAATGAAAACGAAAAGGTTTTATTACATAAAAATCATAGCCAGTGAGCCAATGAGGAGAGAGTGGGGGACGGGGCCAAGCTGCATCTCTGTGTCTTATGGACACCCAAAGCAGGGCTCAGGAGCGGGCACGCACCAGTGCCCCCATAGCAAGCGGCTTGTTTTCGGGGGCAGTGGTTAAGGGGAAATAGCCAGGAGTAGCGGCACGGGACCTGAGAAGAGGAGGATCAGGGCTGTTCTGTGTAAAACAACTGCATAGAGTGGGTAAGTATAACATGTTTGTTATTTTTAAAAAAGCCAAACCTTTAATACCATCTCAATATTCATGACTACTCGCGTTATGCTGCCACCTTTAGGTGAATGGACACAAAAAGGCTGGATCTCCTCTCAGGCATAACCCCTCCCAGCTCGGCTAAGTCTTTGTAACATGTAATGAGGGACACAAAACAAAGAGGGATTTCTGTGTCCTGTGATGTAGTCCCCAAAAAAAAAAAAGGATTTTACAGGTAAATCAAAAGTCGTAATATCCTAATCTTGCATCACATGACACAGAGGAGGTAATATTCATGACTAATTGGGATGACCCAAAGCACTATAATGTAGGTAAGGCATAACGGCAACAAGGCGAACATAGCCAAAGCCCCAAAAGAGCAGAGAGGGAACCCCACTACCATGCCATCTGCATTACCTTCCACCTTCCTGGTAGAACTTGGTAAGTGCATGGAGAGAGAACCAGACCGCAGCCTTACAAACTTGAACAACCGATGCTTGATGCATAATAGCCCAGGAAGCACTGACACTCCTGGTGTATTCGGCCTTACCTGAGAAAGGAGGACCCTTGCCCCTGACATTTCAGGCTTGAGAAAGGAAAAATAAATATATATATATTTATACACACCCCTGGACTGAATGGCTATCAGCCACCACCACATCCCATAAAGCACAGCAAATAATATACAACTAAATATTGGTAATTTTATGTCTACTTCATATGGCCGTTTACATGCTGCCATCGTAATCCAGCGGCAAGAATCAGCGGATTCTTGTAGCTGGAATGACCAGAACATGCAAAAAGCAGCAGCCGCTCAGCCTATTTAAACTGTCATGCTGCCACATCATTAAAAACTGTCAATACATGCTGTTTATACCCACTCAGTCACTGTGAGATTTGTTTTCTGTATTCTGCAAAAACCTGGTTGATCCTGCTGTTTACTGTCCCTCCTTCCTTGTCTGTGTCCCCACTAAAGCCTGAGATTGTGTAGACCAGCTGTTGCCACATCTACTGAGCATGCTGTAGTTTCAGTTCTCCTTTAAGCTGTTCATTTCTTCTTTTTTTCATATCTGTGCAGCCCACCGGACTATAGAGTCACACATGTGAGCATATACCCTCCTGAGTAACAGACAGCCCACTCCCACCATCCTGTATGGCCATAAAACCGCTAAACAAAATTGGGGTGGGATATTGCATGTTGATTGATGGAAGTGTCACCTCCCTGTAATTCTAAGCACATAGAAACAATATACATAGAAACAGACATTTATTTATAAAATGGCACAGAGAACACTGATGACTGTAAAGAACTAATTGTGTATCATCATTAATGCACCAATTAGACTTGATTAATAAAACTGATTTCTTTTTTTTTTTTTTTTTTTTTTTTTTGGTAGGTAGGTATAAATTACAGAACAGCCTTGCTTTTTTCTTTGTGTCACTAAAATTTCAGTGATGTCATTGCAATAATAAATTGCAGCTATTGCTGAATATAAATCTTGTCTTGCATTGCTAGTCAGATTTCATGTGTATTTGTTGTCTTGTCACTGTTTTTCAGGTTTAATTCCGCTACATGGATGGAATTACAAGCTTACCCACCTTTATCTCCATGGCAACTGCATTAATAGCATGGACCATGTACTGCAATGTATGGTGGGATTACAGTCTTTAGCTCACCTTACATTGCAGCATGCTGACGAAGGCAACCCTGTTTGTTTTGTAGCAGGTAATAATACGATCTTTTCTATTTTGTAAACTACATTATTACAACAAAAACACGTTGCTACACGTTAACAGACAATGGGATTAGTGGTTGAAGGTGGATGATGAGGTACTTGAAATGGTCACAGCAATAAGTCTGCTTCTAGTTTTATATTTGTAGGACAGATTAGATCTTGAAGGATAAAGCTAATTGGTTGTTTGGACAACATAGACAGGTTTTTTTTTTTTTTACTTTATTCCCGTACTTTGTCATGTTGCCCATTTTGTATATTTAGTAGTAAGCAGAAGAATCAAGTTCCTTTACTGTCTCTGCAGCACATTATAAAGATATGAAAAAAAGATCTGTAGGGTTAAAACACAGCTGTAAAAATTTCAGTCTTCAGTTTGCCTTTAAACTCAGTACTTGAATATACTGGCATTCTGGCTTACTAAAGGTAGATACAAAACCTCTTATTGCTGCATGCACACTGGCTTTTCTTTATAAATGCAAAAAACACTACAGAAAAACGCTGATAGTAGCGCTTTTGTTTTCGGGTTTTAGTAGCGTTTAGGAGCGTTAGTGTTTTACAGTACACGAGGAAAAAATAAACGTTACGAACTCTACCAAAACAATTTGAAAATCACTTTTAGCAAAAAAAAAAGACAGATGACAGAAAAGAATGGGGATTGAAACATATTTTGTCATTTTTTTTAGATGTGTAGATAGGTGCAATCCACCCCCACAGTTCCACTGCAAAAATAGATATAAATGAGGTCCTATCCGACACTTTGTTCATTTTATAAGCTTGCTGGAGCCCTGTGTAATAAAGTCTATTTGGAAGACAAAGGTCACTTTGCTGTTAAATTCAAAAGAACATAATCTGCTATTTGGTTAATTTCGTTTTACCTATTTTTGATAACTGCAAGGATTACTTCAGCATCTGGGTTCATTGCTAGCTATGCTTTTAATGTGCAACAGTGTTTTCAGCTACCCCAAAGACATTTAAATTGTTGCCTGATCTGGCTGAAAACCGCTAAACAGCGATTTTTCCACTGGCACCTTAATGTAAAAGAATTCTAGTTGTTTAGCCTCATTAGCCAAGAGCAAAAAAAGGATGTTGGCTGAGATGCTGAAAACGGCAACGGTTCCTTTAAAGCAGAACTCAAAAACTTCTTTACATGTCCTTGTTGCTGATTTCCTCCCTTCACTGAATAAAGTATTTTTTGCTCCATAAGATGCACCTGACCATAAGACACGCCTAGGTTTTAGAGGAGAAAGACAAGAAAAAAAATATTCTGAACCAATGGACTGCAGACATAGTACAGGAGATGACCAGAGACTGCGGACACAGTACAGGAGATGACCAGAGACTGCGGACACAGTACAGGGGATGACCAGAGACTGCGGACACAGTACAGGGGATGACCAGAGACTGCGGACACAGTACAGGGGATGACCAGAGACTGCGGACACAGTACAGGGGATGACCAGAGACTGCGGACACAGTACAGGGGGGATGACCAGAGACTGCGGACACAGTACAGGGGATGACCAGAGACTGCGGACACAGTACAGGGGATGACCAGAGACTGCGGACACAGTACAGGGGATGACCAGTACAGGGGATGACCAGAGAGACTGCGGACACAGTACAGGGGATGACCAGTGACTGCGGACACAGTACAGGGGATGACCAGAGACTGCGGACACAGTACAGGGGATGACCAGAGACTGCGGACACAGTACAGGGGATGACCAGAGACTGCGGACACAGTACAGGGGATGACCAGAGACTGCGGACACAGTACAGGCGATGACCAGAGACTGCGGACAGAGACAGTACAGGCGATGACCAGAGACTGCGGACACAGTACAGGGGATGACCAGAGACTGCGGACACAGTACAGGGGATGACCCAGAGAGGGGATGACCAGAGACACAGTACAGGCGATGACCAGAGACTGCGGACACAGTACAGGCGATGACCAGAGACTGCGGACACAGTACAGGCGATGACCAGAGACTGCGGACACAGTACAGGGGATGACCAGAGACTGCGGACACAGTACAGGAGATGACCAAGAGACTGAAGACAGTACAGAGGGATGACCAAGAAACTGCAGAGAGTACAGGGGATGACCAAGAGACTGCGGACCATTGGGGAGGGAGGAGGAGCGGGTACCTGAATTTGACTGACAGATGCCCGCTCCCACTTCCGCGGAGTTGTCCTCCCTTTAGTGTGGGCACCCTGCTGTAACAGCCGGGTGCCCACTGCGCATGCGCGAGAAACACTGCGCTTTGTGAATGGCCCGGCGTCTTCTGGGACCTGTCATGAGTCCCAGAAGACGCCGGATCATTCACAAACCGCAGCGCTTCTCGTGCATGTGCAGTGGGCACCCGGCTGTGACACTAAAGATGCCGGCGCGGGAAGACTGTACTGCTCTGGACCAAGGAACAGGTATGGTCCGGCTGCAGAGAAGAGCTGAGCGGCCGGCCCGGTATTCTGACACGGTGGCGGAAATACTGGACCGGTCGCTCCATATTGGTTTTATAAGACACACTGACATTTTCCTGCCCTTTTTTGGGGGGAAAAAAGTGTGTCTTATGGAGCGAAAAATACGGTATGTTATCTATCTGCTGGTTCACTTAGTAGTTTCTCTGAAATAGTCTGTTCATTTTCAGATCAAACAGTTAATTCTCTTTGGTTTCCTGTTTGTAAGACCAGTGGCTTCTATGCCTCCCATTCCCATAGCCACAGGTCTTGGCACATCCCTTCTATAGTTCTTTCTCCAGGAAGCAGTGATGTAATTCAGCCCCACTTGCAGTGGTGGGTGGACTGAGACTCTCAGACACATTCGACATGTACAGGCTTAGTGTACCTGCCCACTACAATTCCCTGTGGTTGATGGGAACTGTAGTTGCCTTTTATTGCAGAGAGAAAGGATAGGATGTGCTGCTATTATACCTGCTCCTTGGCAGAGCAGATGCTGGCATCTATTGAAATACAGAGATGTCATGATAATTCAGTTAGATTTTCCTCCTAAATAGTAAGGATTTTCAAAATTGTATTAACTGTTTAGTTTTTGTGTAGGGGTATACTAATGGGTGAGTTTTTGCCTGGAGTTCTTTAAATTCCCAAATTTGTAGAAAATCTATCATTTTCCTGCTACTATTTTTTGCTTGTAAATCCATTGGATTTTAGCACTGTGTTGTTGTTATATGTCATTTTAGAGATTGTCCTAAATTGCTAAAGCTTCCATTGCAAAAACTGTTATTTTGTCTTTAGGATACAGAGATGTGGTTCTTGGAAACCTGCCACAATTAAAAGCTCTGGATAGTGTTAGTAGGTCAGGCGAACCTGTTCCTATGTATGATGTTGATCCTTCAGATGTTCCCATTCTTGACTTTCTGAAATATTTGATCACTACTTGTGACGATGATCCTGGCAGCAAAGAATTAAAGGTACCACTTTTGCCATTGTTTGTCTACTGGAGATTATTATTATACAGGAGATTAGCAAATGTTATTAGGCATTAAAATAGTTGTTCAGAGCATTATCTTAGATTTTTTTTTTTTCTTGTTTTTGGATATGAGGCTTACACTCTTTGTTGATGATGCAGACTCAGACTGACCCAAAAAGACCTGCAGCTGTAATTGCAGCGAAAGATGGTTCTACAAAGTATTGAGGGGGGCTGAATATAAATGCACGCCACACTTTCTATTTATTTGTAAAACATTTTGAAAACCATTTATTATTTTCCTTCCACTTCACAATTATCTGCTACTCAGTGTTGGTCTATCACATAAAATCCCAATAAAATACATTTACGTTTGTGGTTGTAACCTGACAAAATGTCGAAATTTTCAAGGGGTATGAATACTTTTTCAAAGCACTGTATATTTTATTATACGTTCAGGGCTAAAAATACAATTTTAAATATTCGATTGCTGAATGTTTTGACCACTGCACATTTGTATTTATCACTAGAAATCAATCAACAAGTGGTCCTGTCATAACGCCTCGAATTGACCAGGTTTTATCACAGTATCGAAAGAGGCCTGTTGTCCTAGGTTCAGGGCACTTAAGTAGATGTATAGATTCTACGACTTCCTCAGACCAAGAGTCCACCATACATCAAGATTCCACCAGCATCCTGTGTGAAAATGAGGATTAAGAGGTTGGAGGAGCAGATATCGGAACTTCTAAAGGTTTGTCTTTGACTTCCTACCTTGGTTGCAGCTCATTTTATAATGTACTTAAAGCTGACCTCCAGGAATTCAGCCACTTTCTAGAATGTGCTGGCATATTATGAGTTAATTCGAATGAGGTACATGACACCTTGTGGACTTCTCTTTTATTAATTACAGCTGATAGTTTTACAGAGTACAACTTTCACAACACTCCAAGGTGCTCTGATAGGAGAGTTGCTACTTTCTTACACAGCAATAGCCATGCCCGCCCCTCCCCTCCCCTGTCCATTCACAGAAGGTTTTATTTTTTGTGAGTTCACATAATACAATGCGTTCTGTGATTGGGCAGGAAGGAGGAAGTGGGTTGGTACAGTAATGGTGTGCGACACTGCAGCGGCAGGAGCTAAAACCTAGGTTCAGCGTCAGGACACCAGAATTATAGCAATCAGTATGCTCCTAGTGCTCAGTAAAAATGTCAGTGGTAAATAAGAGGTAAGTCCAGAAGGCAGCATGCTCCTCATTGGACTTAGCCCAGCACATTTTTTTAAAGTGACTACATTTCTGGAGTTTAGCTTTAAAATAGCAGTTTTTAAGGTATTTATTTCTTTACAGGCTCCACAACCCAAGCTAGAAGCAGCTTTGAAACCCAAGAGAGACACTGACCCCACAACTGAGAGTGACTCTGAAAGTGAGAAGGAAAATAAAAAGACCTCTGTAATTAAAAGGAGCAAAATTCCTGCGTATAAGAACAGACAGACACAGAAACAAAACTGTCATCAACAATCAAAGACCCTACCTTTAACTAGGTATCACTGTGGCTGATCTCTCATTCTTATTTACAAACCATTTTGTGACCACGTTATGCGTTTTTTAAATCCACATGAAAAATGGCAATTGCTGTGAGAACATTAATAAGTCTTGTAGAAAAGAACTAGTAGTCCAAGAGTATATGCTCCTAGCTCTCAGAACCAATGTCAATTTGAAAAATGATTGCCAAACAGTTAGTGTCAAGTTAACTGGCACATACTGATGCTGTTAAACTTTGGTCTGGGCATCTAAATTTAAAAAAACTCAGGTCATGAAAGAAAATGCTGCTAGTAACCATTTATTCATATATAATAGTACTGTGCATTTTAGACAAGACCTTGTAGGTCTTGGGAGGATCGAAGAGGTCTTGTGGATAGCGTTGTAAGTAGTTGGTATTTTGAATTTTATTCATTGGGCGAGTGGAAGCCAGTGGAGGGATTGGCAGAGAGGAGTAGCAGACACTGAACGTTTGGTAAGGTGGATGAGCCTGGCAGCAGTATTCATGATGTACTGGAGGGGGGGATAGCCTATGCAAAGGTAAGCCAATGAGGATGGGGTTGCAGTAGTATAGGTGAGAGATAACCAGGGAGTGAATTAGGAGTTTTGTGGTATAAATGGTTTAAAAAGGGGCATATTCTGGAGATGTTGCGGAGGTTGAGGCAGCATGATTTAGACAGGGATTAGTTGTGGGCCTGAAAGGTATTACAAACATCTTGGAGAACTACATCCACAGGTTTTCTGTGGATGTAGGCTGCCTCAAATCCTTCTGTATTTTCATGTAATCCCAGACAGACTCAATGATGTTGCGATTAGGGCTTTGTGGAGGCCATACCATCACTTTCAGGGCTCCTTGTGTTTTTTTTTTTTTTTTTTCTCTTTTCTTCGCTGTAGTTCTTCATGACCATGGCTTTATGTTTGGGGTCATTGTCTTGCTGCAGAATAAATTTTGAGAACAATCACACATCTCCCTTATAGTATGGCATAATGGCTAAGTATCTGCCTGTATTTCTCACATTGAGGACACCATTGATCGGACATTGGTGAGGACCATAGGTAGACCAAGGAAATTTATTGCAGCAGATGAAAGACGCACCATGCTTACTTCCCTTCAACATTGGAAGATCTCCAGCAGTGCCATCAGCACAGAACTGGATGAAAACAGTGAGGCCCAGGTACACTCATCTACTGTCCGGAGAAGTCTGGCCAGAAGTGGTCTTCATGGAAGAATTGCAACCAAAAAGCCATACCTCAGACGTGGAAACAAGGCTAAGCAACTCAACGATGCACAAAAACATGGACTGTGGTGCAGAAAAATGGCAGCAGGTGCTCTGGACTGATAAGTCAAAATTTTAAAATTTGGCTGCAGTAGGGGGGCAGTTTGTTTTCCGAAGGGCAGGAGAGCGGTACAATAATGAGTGTATGCAGGTAACAGTGAAGCATGGTGGAGGATTTCTGCAAGTTCGGGGCTGTATTTCTGCAAATGAAGTTGGAGATTTGGTCAGGATCAGTGGTGTCCCTAATGTTGAGAAATACAGGCAGATACTTATGCATCCTGCCATACCATCAGGGAGGCATGTGATTGACCCCAAATTTGTTCTGCATCAGGACAGTAACCCCAAATGTACAGCCGATGTCGCTAAGAACCATCTTTGGTGTAAGTAGAACAAGGAACCCTGGAAGTGATGGCTCCCACATCTCAACATCATGAAGTCTGTCTGGGATTACTCAGAGACAGAAGGATTTGAGGCAGCCTACATCCACAGAAGGTCTGTGATTAATTCCCTCATAAACTGTGTGTAAGTGTACCTAGAAAAAGGTATGCTCCTTGACAAAGAGTGGTCACACCAAATATTGAATTGGTTTGGATTTCTCTTCAGTTCATTTACTTTCCATTTTGTTCGTTAATAAAAATAAACTATTGACACTTCTATTTCTGAAAGCATTCTTAATTTACATCATTTTTTCACACCTTGTCTAAATCTTTTGCACAGTACTGTAATATTTATCAATTATAGTAGACTACAAACATCTAATTTAAAGGGTTGCAGATGTGGTTCTCCTACTGTGTAGCAGCTTAACTAATGTTTTAAGACATTGATTTTCAAACTTAGTGAGACCAGGGCAGGTTTAGTTTTTTTTTGTTTCTTTTTTTCCATGCCATAAAATTAAAGGGGAAGCGTGGAAATATAAAAAAAACAAACACCTATTTCCCTCCCTGCTGCAGCATATTCTGATGCTGCAGCTGTCCCCTGCCAGCTCTAGGCCACAGAACCAAGAGATCATGCGACCGTTTCTCACTCAGTTTTTGGTCCTCTCGGAGCTGAGAGCAGTGATTGTGACACGCTGTCACTTGGGTCTGAGTCACAGGAGAACACAAGTAAGTGCACTCCTGTGACCCACAGGAGAAGTATGACCCAAAAAAATTTGGCCATACTTTTTTTAAGAACTCATTTAAGTCTTTGCAGTGTGACACACATTTTGTCTGATTAATGTACGTGTTACATGCGTTACTGCATCACCTTAAAAAAAAGAAGTTTTGTGTAGTATAAACCGTGAATGCAAAATATGTATAGCCATTCTTTTATTGTAGGAGTATAAACTTTTTTTCTTCGACTATGTATGTCTGTTGGTCTACCTCATAGTCCTGTAATCATTGTATGATTGAAATACAGGTCAACAGACATACAGTGCATCCAGAAAGTATTCACAGCGCTTAAGTTTTGCCACATTTTGTTATGCTACAGCCTTATTCCAAAATGGTTTAAATTCATTTTTGTCCTCAACATTCTACAATACCCCATAATGACAATGTGAAAGAAGTTCATTTTGAAATTTTTGCAATTTATTAAAAATAAAAAACAAAAAAACCACATGTACGTAAGTATTCACAGCCTTTGCTCAATACTTTGTTGAAGCACCTTTAGCACCAAGAACAGCCTCAAGTCATTTTGAGTATGATGCTACAAGCTTGGCACAATTTCTCCCATTCTTCTTTGCAGTACCTCTCAAGCTCCATCAGGTTGGATGGAGAGCGCTGGTGCACAGCCATTTTCAAATCTCTCCAGAGATGTTCAGTCGGATTCAAGTCTGGGCTCTGGCTGGGCCACTCCAGGACATTCACAGAGTTGGCCCATAACCACTCCTTTGTTATGTGGGCTGTGTGCTTAGGGTCGTTGTCCTGTTGAAAGATGAACTGTTGCTCCAGTCTAAGGTCCAGAGTGCTCTGGAACAGGTTTTCATCAAGGATGACTCTGTACATTGCTGCATTAATCTTTCCTTCGATCCTGACTAATCTCCCAGTTCCTGCCACTGAAAAACATTCCCACAGCATGATGCTGCCACCACCATGCTTCACTGTAGGGATGATATTGGCCAGGTGGTGATCGGTGCCTGGTTTCCTCCAGACATGACGCTTGGCATTCAGGCCAAAGAGTTCAATCTTCATTTTATCAGACCAGAGAGTTTTGTTTTCTCATGGTCTGAGAGTCCCTCAGGTGCCTTTTGGCAAACTCCAGGCGGGCTGCCATTTGCCTTTTACTGAGGAGTGGCTTCTGTATGGCCATTCTACCATACAGGCTTGATTGGTGGGGTGCTGCAGAGATCGTTGTTCTTCTGGAAGGTTTTCTTCTCCTCACAGAGAAACGCTGGAGCTCTTTCAGAGTGACCATCGGGTGCTTGGTTAACTTCCTGATTAAGACCCTTCTCCCTCGATCGCTCATTTTGGCCAGGTGGCCCTCTCTAGGAAGATTCCTGGTGGTTCCAAACTTCTTCCATTTACGGATGATGGAGGCCGCTGTGCTCATTGGGACCTTCAATGCTGCAGAAATGTTTCTGTACTCTTTCCCAGATCTGTGCCTTGATACAATCTTGTCTCGGAGGTCTACGGACAATTCCTTGGACATCATGGCTTGGTTTGTGCTCTGACATGCACTGTTAACTGTGGGACCTTATATAGACAGGTTTATGCCTTTCCTAATCATGTACAATCAACTGAATTTCCCACAGGTGGACTCCAGTCAAGTTTTGGAAACATTTCAAGGACGATCAGTGGGAACAGGATGCACCAGAGCTCAATTTTGAGTGTCGTGGCAAAGGCTGTGATTACTTATGTACATGTGTTTTTTTGTTTTGTTTTTTTTTTTCAATTTTTATTTTTACTAAATTGCAGAGATTTCAAAACGAACTTCTTTCACGTTGTCATTATGGGGTATTGTTTGTAGAATATTGAGGAAAAATTAATCCGTTTTGGAATAAGGCTGTAACATAACAAAATCTGCCAAAAGTTAAGTGCTGTGAATATTTTTTCTCGATGCACTGCACATACAGTATCAGGCACTAGGCAGGGGACACTACTGTCCAGCTGCAGAGCACTTAAAAGTGCTAGGTGTATGTCATTTAGTGTACAACGGGTCTCCTCCACTCACCTATGCAATTGCTGCCTCCCCTGGTCTTTGAGCAGTTCATGTAATCTGTGTGATCACTGTTAGGCGACAGCCTAGGGAGTCTCTGTGCTGCAGCAAGTGGAGAAGAAATGATGGTGCCCGCAGACAATCTGACACCCAGCTTCTGAGACCCCAGCACCAGGCCTGCACTGTACTGCTGTTTTACATACTGTGTGATGCTTGGGACTATCCTTGCTATGACAAGTCTGTAATTGTTAAAAAGCACAACCTATATTTTATGTGATTAATGATAGTCATATTGTGAAATCTGATTATAAAAACTTTAAAAAAAAAACTTTTTTTTTTATTCTAAGTGTTTCAGAATCGTACACCTATCTGCTTGAAGTAAGCAAATGAGAAATCCATTCTGTGGAGGAGCAGTATTTAGCTATGGGGGTCCTTGCACTGTTTTTAAATATTATAATACGGTGTTCAGTTACTTTTATCCCACATAATCATGTCAGAGTTAACTGAACAGAATCAGCATTTCCATTCTGTAGAGCTGTGGGTTCCATATGCTATGACTAGTAAAGTTATTGTCTGCTGTCATCTTACATTTTCCAGTGTGTCTAAGCAGAACGCAACTAGAAAGCAGAAGAACCCCAGCCCTCACAGGAAAGCACAGAGACCCAGTAGTGGATCGTCAGAAAGAGCAAATACAGACAGTACAAAACAGGTCTCGGCAAGACTTGTTGGACCTTTGAGATCTCCGCAAAGAAGACTAGAACCATCGGTGTCCAATTCGGTGGAGGAATCTACATACAGGGTATGGAGTTATAAGCCATGAAAGTGGATAAGTACTCAAAAGCGAAAGTGCTGCTACTCATTCCCATCCCCAACTGCAGCCTCCTGGCACACAATACACATCCCAGGAGGCTGCAGGAACAGTCCAACAACATCACACAATTTCACACATGTGCAGTGGGAAGCTGGCTGTGCTTGCTCAGGAAGTCGCAGCTGGCTTCCATATCCAGGATGGCGGCGCCAGGGACCCAAAGCGGTAAGAACTGACTGTGGGAGGGCAGTGCTGAACCCCAGGCACTAGCAGGTACCCGATTTTTAAAAGTCAGCAGCTACAGTATTTGTGGTTCCTGTTGAAGTTCCTCTTTAAGGAATCCGGAAGCAAAATTTGTTAATGTTTAAAAAAAAAAAGTTGTTTTGCTTTACAATGTACAATGCTTTACTGCTTGCATGCCATAACTCTATTAAGTTCAAGGAAGTATGTTGGAAGATATTGTATATTTATTATTTTCTTCTAATTTTTAAGGCATCATAGACGCCTTTAAAGGTTTCCGGAAGATGAAATAAAACTTTAGTATAACAAAGAAGAAAATTGTTTTAAGAGACCAATTACTAGGTGTCTTATTAAGAAAAAAGTTATCTACAGTGGAAGGAGGGCATTGAAATATGTGGGTTTTGCATTCTCTAGAATTTAGCGATAAGTTTGGCACAAACTTTGCTGCACATCATTCTAGCTCAGTTCTGCTCAACTTTGACATGTTGAAGAGAAGGATTTGCTACAATCAAGGAAAAAAACAAATCAGATGCTTGGATTTACCTTTTTTAGGTTTTTGAGCTTTGTCTAGTATTTGCATGTTGATATCATTTCAGAAGTAATTTCAAGTATTTCTAAAAATACATCTTTCATTTAAATAGTCCTTGGTGATCCTGTCATTGGCAGGCACTTTCAATTATACAGTGATAGTGTTCTTTCCTTCCTCCCAATGGTTCTTCTACATTGTTATTGACAATTTTTTATTGAAATTCAGTATGTTTATAACCAGCTTTATACTGCCTTTAAAGAACCTATTGAGGTGATGATATACAGGACATAAAACAAAATGTAAAAAAACTTTCTGTTGGTTACCTGTCCTATCATGAAATACTGCTTCGGGCTTTCAAAGCTGCCAGTCACCAGAGCAAAGTGTCAAGGCATTTTGGTCATGTGATCTTTGTTGAGGTAAGGGACCATTGTGGAGTAGCTGAATGACCAGTTGTGCATGAATAACTGACTCCCTGGCCCCTTCAGCTGAGGTCAAGTGTCCAACTAGCAATCAAATTATGTTTTCTCTTTTCTAGAAGCCACTAAGGACTGGAGCTTACAGGCAGTATATAAGTAACAGGACCGTCTTTTATTACAGTTCTTGTAGACTAATCATTTCCAGGTACTTGGAAAGTACTAGATATATGTTTTTATGAGGCAGTGCTTTGAAGATGTTAGGATTTAAATCTGATTGAGTTGTGTTTACTTTGCAGGCACTTGTTCAAGAACTAGATCAGGAAAGAGAACGGCGATGGAAAGCTGAACAGCTTGTTGTAAAGCTAACAGAAAATATCAAAGAGTTGCAAAGTCAGGCTAAAGAGGAGAAAGACATAAACAGCATGGCTGTACATGCCACAGATCGGTGAGAAGCCTTGCATTCGTCTACAATAATTGGCCCCTTGGCTTATTGGGATACATAATCCTAAAAGAACAGAGCGTTATAGCCCTTCTTTAGTTTTGTTTGTGTTTTGTAAAACATGGGATTTGGTTTTTACACGCATCTTTTTCTCTATAGATAAAAACATATTTTAGTGCATAAAGAGCATGGTAATGTTAACTATTTAGACATTGTTTGATGGTAGGATAATAAACATGTGCTGAAAAACATTGTTATTCTGAAAATACTAGTTGTTTTCTGGTTGTTCTGATCCATTGGATTCATTATTTTTGTAGCCTCTGACCTGTAACAAGTATGTAGATTCTGACTTTCTAATCTGCATGCGTTTTCAAGACCCTAGCTCAAAATACTGAAACTAGATACAGTGGGCAACTAGTATTAGAAGAAGAAATATGATGTGATGCAATACCAGATATCACCTATAACATTTCAGTTCTCAGTTCAGATGGAAAGCTGTAGGAGGTGAGAAACATGTAAATGTCACATACAGTGGGGATCGAAAGTTTGGGCACCCCAGCTAAAAAATTGTATTAATGTGCATAAAGAAGCCAAGGAAAGATGGAAAAATCTCCAAAAGGCATCAAATTACAGATTAGACATTCTTATAATATGTCAACAAAAGTTAGATTTTATTTCCATCATTTACACTTTCAAAATAACCGAAAACAAAAAAATGGCGTCTGCAAAAGTTTGGGCACCCTGCAGAGTTAATATCTTGTACTGCCCCCTTTGGCAAGTATCACAGCTTGTAAACGCTTTTTGTAGCCAGCCAAGAGTCTTTCAATTCTTGTTTGAGGTATCTTTGCCCATTCTTCCTTACAAAGGTCTTCCAGTTCTTTGAGATTTCTGGGCTGTCTGTCACGCACTGCTCTTTTAAGGTCTATCCATAGATTTTCAATTATGTTGAGGTCAGGAGATTGTGAAGGCCATGGCAAAACCTTCAGTTTACGCCTCTTGATGTAATCCCCCGTGGATTTCGAGTTGTGTTTAGGATCATTATCCATTTGTAGAAGCCATCCTCTCTTTAACTTCAGCTTTTTCACAGATGGCATCAAGTTACCATCCAAAATTTGCTGAAATTTTATTGAATCCATTTTTTCCTTCTACTCGTGAGATGTTCCCTGTGCCACTGGCTGCAACACAACCCCAAAGCATGAATGATCCAACCCCATGCTTAACAGTTGGACAGAGGTTCTTTTCATTAAATTCTGTGCCCCTTCTTCTCCAAACGTACCTTTGCTCATTCCGGCCAAAAAGTTCAATTTTAACCTCATCGGTCCACAGAACTTGTTTCCAAAATGCATCAGGCTTGTCTTGTTCATTTGCAAAGTTCAAACGATGATTTTTGTGGTGAGGACGTAGAAGAGGTTTTCTTCTGATGACTCTTCTATGAAGACCATATTTGTACAAGTATCTCTTTATAGTGGAATAGTGTACCACAACTCCAGTGTCTGCCAGATCTTTCTGGAGGGATCGTGCAGTCAAACGTGGGTTTTGAATTGTTTTTCTCGCAATCCTGCGAGCTGTTCTGTCTGATATTTTTCTTGGTCTTCCAGATCTTGCTTTAACTTCCACTGTCCCTGATGACTGCCATTTCTTAATTACATTCCGAACAGAGGATATTGACATCTGAAAACGCTTTGCTATCTTCTTATAGCCTTCTTGAGAACAATTGAGAACAATCCATGACACTGGCAGGACTCAGCTTTGCAAAGGGGGCAGTGCATGCTATAAATTCTGCAGGGTGCCCAAACTTTTGCAGACGCCATTTTTTTGTTTTCTGTTATTCTGAAAGTGTAAATGATGGAAATAAAATCTAACTTTTGTTGACATATTATAAGAATGTCTAATCTGTAATTTGATGCCTCTTGGAGATTTTTCCATCTTTCCTTGGCTTCTTTATGCACATTAGTACAAAGTTTTAGCTGGGGTGCCCAAACTTTCGATCCCCACTGTATAGGGATCAGAAGGATCTAAAACATTTTTTCTGTTTTTTTTTTTTTGTTCTTTTAAAGCTGGAGAATTCTTTTATTATGTGCTTTCATTTTGAAATATCCCCCATCTCTAAAGTGGGTCATATATTTATTAAAGTTCAGCAGGGACTGGCCAAATTTCGATCTCTGTGTGGCATTCCCTGCTCAACAGAAGTCTGTTGTTTAATTGACTTCTGTCAAAGGCACATGTTGGAAAATGTTCCTTGATCAGCAGCTGCAACTAAGCTGCTGATCAGTGTATTCTGGCTACTGCTGGTGCCTCCTGCAAAACAAAATGTCCCAGAAGGGGGGGATTCCTTCATCCACCTCAGTTGAATAGCAAAAAAAAAAAAAAAATAACAGTGTGTGGCCAGTTTTACTTCCTTACACCCTGGCCATCAAAGTTAGACATAGAAAACCTAGACCTCAGGTGTACATTCAGTGTCCAGCTTACCCAGGGCCCATCAGTGTTTACAGTCAACCTCTAAAATACAAACTCTTCTGGTGCTTCTGCATCTGGCCTGGTTTTAGGCAGTAATGGTTTTATCTGCTTTGCGGTATTTCATGGAAACATAAATACCATTCTGCTAATTATTAAATATTAAAAGGATGGCTAGTGTGGTTAATTTTTGGTGAATTATATTTAAAAATGGATATCTGCAGCTATTCTAGGCCTCTTAGTGAATGTTTATTTCACCCACACCCTCTTACACCTTTAACCACTTGAGCTCCGGAAGATTTTACCCCCTTCATGACCGGGGCTTTTTTTGCTATTCAGGACTGAGCTACTTTAACTGGCAATGACACAGTTATGCAACACATTAGCTGAGTGAAGTTTATATAATTTATTTTTTTTTTTACACAAAAAACTTTCTTTTGGTGGTGTTTGATCACCACTGGGTTTTTTATTAAATAAACAAAAAAAAAAAAAAAAAACAACCACATATTCTGCTCCATGTCTTTAGTAAACAATCCCAATAAGTGTATATTATTGGTTTGTGTGAGAGTTATAGCGTCTACAAATGATGGTAATGGCTGTGATCATCGACTTATAGTGGGACTGTGATAGTGCATCGGGCAATCTGACACTAACTGATGCTGGGTGGGATCTGACTAAATGACCTTAACATCTCCAGTGACATTAATACAGTGATCAGTGCTGATACTATACACTGTCACTGTACTAATGACACTGGCTGGGAAAGGGTTAACATCTAGGGGCAAACAAAGGGTAACAATGTGTAATGTATGCTGCTTTTACTACTAGATGTCACTGCTTTATTTCCTTGCTTTGCAGGGAGAGAAAAAACAGCCACATCGCTGCTCTCTGTTCAGAGCCCTGTTTTCTTGGCAAACACAGGGCTCTGAACTGTCATTTGCTAAGCAGATCAGCAGGTCTCGGCCAATGAGTTATGGCCAGGGCCTGCTGATTAGCTTCTGCTATAGCAATCAGCAGCACAGAAAGGAGCAGTGGGTGCTCACACCCCCTACCCAGAAATGCCAGATCACATACAACTACATGATCTTGCACAGTGGGGCTACTCTGCCACAGTGAAACTGTGGTAGGTGGTCTGCAAGCGGATAACCTTTACATGGTGGTATATCTTTTACTGTTAAAGTGGATCTAAAGGTAGTTTTTTTTTTTTCACCTTTTAATGCATTCTGTATGCATTGAGGTAAAAATAATCTTCTGGGTGTAGCTCCCCCCTTATACATACCTGAGCCCCATCTCAATACAGTGATGTGTATGAGAACTTCACCTTTCCCTGGTCTCTCTCTCTTCATTGGCTCCTGGTGCTATCAATCACAGTCAGTGAGCTAATGAGGAAGCGGGGACAATGTCCATTCACAGGAGCATGGCTTGGGAGCACGCAGCAGGGGGCAGGAGCCAGGACCATTGGCATGGAACCGGAAAAGAAGAGGATTGGGGTTGCTCTGTGCAAAACTATTGCACAGAGAAGGTAAGCTGAACATGTTTGCTATTTTTAGAATCACTTTAAGTAATTTCTAATATTAGAGGAATATTGCAAAGCCCTTGCAAATGGTTTGTGCTTTATGTCTTTTTTTGTTTTTGTAGGATTAAAGAATTACTTCTGAAGGAAAAAAATGCGAAATGTACATTGCAAGCACTTGTGCACCAGTTAAAAGAAGAAAATGAGAGGCTTATCAATAAAATAAAGCAGTCAGCTAGTAAAGAAGAAGAATATCGGCAAACATTTAGAAAGATGGAAGATGCAGTGTCTAAATTAGAATCACAAAGAATCCAGCAGGAAGCATTGGAGGTACAGGATATTCATAGCTTTTCAAAATGAGTTTTTAACATCATTTTTCTTGTATAGGCTTAACATTAAACAAGAATCACCGCTTTCAATGTCCTCTGCCTATAGAGTTTTTTTTTTTTTTTAAATGTAACTGCGTCTGCCTACATAATATAGGTAATTTTCCAGAATGTATAACTGATTGTTGGTTGGCATTAGATGCTTTCCATTGCATTTTTTAAAATGCATCTGGAATGCAAGATACAGTCATTGTCATGCATTCCAATAGCCCTAGTTCACCCCAGTGCAGTCAGTTCCAGTGCTTTCAACAAAAGTACAACCTGCTGCATTTTTTTCATCTGGAACACATCAAAACTCGTGCGAATGCACCAGAATGAACGTAAGAAACGGTTTTTTTTTCTAAGCTTTTTCTAGCATCACAATACACTGTGTGCACAATTATTGGTCAAGTGAGTTTTTTAACCAAATCATCTTTTCTTTATCCATATTGTCCAACTCCAAGCTGTAAAAACTCAAATGATTATTGGATGTAAGCAAATCAGGTGTTGTGTATTTGTGTAATGAGGGAGGGTGTGGCCTAAGAAGATAAACACCCTATATCAAGGTGTGCATAATTATTAGCTTCTTTTCCTCAGGCAAAATGGGCCAAAAAAGAGCTTTACGTGACTCTTGAAAGTCAAAAATTGTAAAAAGTCTTTCAGAGGGATGCAGCACTTTGGAAATTGCTAAGATATTTTGGTGTGGTCACAGATCCAACAAATGTTTTGTTGCAAATAGTCAACAGGGTCGCAAGTAATGTGTTGAGAAAAAAGAGCCGCAAATTAACTGCCAAAGATTTGAGAAGAATCAAACCTGAAGCTATCAGGAATCCATTATCCTCTAGTGCTGTCATATTACAGAACTGCAACCTACCTAGAGTACCCAGAAGTACATGTTGTTCAGTGCTGAGATATGGTCAAGGTAAAAAAGGCTCAAACCCGACCACCGCTGAACAAGACACATAAGTTGAAACATTAAGACTGGGCCAATAAATATCTGAAGACAGATTTTTCAAAGGTTTCATGGACTGATGAGATGAGAGTGACTCTTGATGGACCAGATGACTGGGCCTGTGGCTGGATCAGTAATGGGCACAGAGCTCCACTTCGTCTCAGATGACAGTAAGGTAGAGGTGGGGTTGTGGTATGGGCTGGTGTTATTACGGTAATAATACCAGCTCATACTAGTATCCCACCTCCATCTTGCTGGCATCTGAGTCGAAGTGGAGCTCTGTGCCCGTTACTGATCCAGCCGTGGGCCAATCCATGTGGTCCATCATGAGTCTCCTTAGGCCACACCCTCCCTCATTACACAAATACACATCACCTGATATGCATAAATCCAATAAGCATTCAAGTTTATACAGCTTGGAGTTGGACAATATGCATAAAAATGATGAGTTGGTCAAAAAACTCACTTGCCTAATTGTGCACACCGTGTAAAATGAGGGAAAGAATGCACTGGAACGCATTAAAAACACGTCAAAAATGCATCTAAACGTGTATGCAAAAATAAATTCGGAATGTTGAAATTGCAGTGTCGACCAACCCTTATGTTATGTTTTTATGTATAAGTAGCCTGATTTTTGCCAGTCACTGCTGATAAGTTATGTTGGCATTGATTGAAATGTTGAACAGTTTTCACAATAAAGTCTCTGTAAAGATTTGTGAGTTGTAGTGTTAGTAAACTGTTGATGCTGCCTAAAGTCTAGTGAGCAGAGTTAACATTTTGTGCTGTTTGTCTCTGCAGTACTGGATTGTTAAGCCACTACAGACCACCTCCTCTTATGTTATAGCGATCAGAGAGGAGGTTCTGTAGTCCAAATCATAACTATGCATAGGGTGACAACATTGCTGTCCAAGAGATAAACTACAGTGATTGAATGTTGGCACCGTAGTGCAGGAAATGTGTTACTAATCATACTGGATCATATCATCTGGTGAAAAAAAGGAAAGCAAATGCAGTCACTACAACTCAGGACTGGTAAGCTGCAATATATGAAATTTTTGTTCTTGGTTATAGATATGCTTAAAGGAAACGAGTTTAGAGAGATGTATGATTTTGTCATTGTTGTCCAACATCTAAAGTTTCCCTACTGTCTTTTGTTTTAGGCTTTTTTTTTTTTTTCAGTCACTGACCTAAAGCACAAAAGTATATTAGGAATGTGAAAGTTAAAGCATATGTCAGGTCAAAAAAAAAAAAAAAAAAAATCCTATACAATACATCATCTTTGCATTGCTTGTATAGCTTCTCCTGTTGTATCCCTTTAACCACTTCCCTCGGGTGGACATCATATGACATCCTGGGAGGGAACTGGTTATACCGGAATGATGCCTGCACTTGCTTACAGGCGTCATCCTGGTATCAGAATTAACAGCAGCTGGCAATGGGCTTTTTAGCAGAAGTGATTCACGTGGCTGACCAGCTGCTCGATCAGTTCTGCACACGAGACTCCAGATCTCTCCATATAGAGGACCAGTCACTGGTGATCACACCACACTTCTGAGGTATCATTGTGAACGTCAAAGTGAGAGCAATAATTTTAGAGCCTGACCTCCTGTGTAAACTGGTAACCTGTAGAGGCATTTAAAGTGTCGCCTATTGAGATTTTTAAGTAGGGTAGTTTGGCGCCGTTTCACGGCTGTACGCAATTTGAAAGCGTGACATGGTGGGTTTCTATTTACTCTGCATAACCTCATCTTTTGTATTTTGCGAAACAATTTGGTATTGTTTGTGTGCAATAAAATTCATTTAAGTGTATTTTTTCCAGAATAATTGCTGCACAAATATGGTGTGACCCAAAAAATTGCAACACCTATCATTTTATTCTCTAGGGCCTCCTCTAAAAAATATTTATGATGTTTGGGGGTTCTAATTCATTTTCTAGCAAAAAAAATTTAATTTTTTTTACATGTATGTGAGAAGTGTCAGAATTGGCCCAGTAGGCAAGTACTCTGCAAATACAGAAATATACCTGTTGCTTTGATAAAAATGCACTTTACTGCTGTTTGTTCTCTTATGGATTATTATTACCACATGCTATTTGTGAAAGACTTGATGTTGACCCTGCCCAGTTGTCTGTTGTTAAACTACTGAACCCCAACCATTCTCTTCATCTCCACAGCATGGGGGCTAATTGGTCTGTATTCCCAGATAGGAGCTGTGAGGACTCCTTGAGATAGCACAGGAAGTTTGTGCAGGACGGCTCTAAATGTCTGTCATGATCATCAGGGATTTTTTTTGCACTTATCTAATAGATATAACAATGTTTTCAATGGTATTTTTAACAGAACAGTGGGAAAAAAATAAAATGTTTGTTGTTGGAGTATGCATACACTGTTAGACTTCACCTCTGCAACATCTCCAAGATACGACCATTCCTAACCTCGAAAACTACTAAGCAACTTATTCACTCCCTTGTTATATCTTGCCTTAACTATTGTAACTCCTTCCTCATTGGCCTATGTAATCGCAGGCTATCCCCTCTTCAGTCTATCATGAATGCTGCTGCCAGACTCATCCACCTTACTAACCGTTCTGTATCAGCCACCCCTCTCTGCCAATCCCTCCACTGGCTTCCCATTGCCCAACAGATAAAATTCAAAACACTAACAATAACGTATAAAGCCATTTACAACTCTGCCCCAAATTACATCACCGATCTTGTCTCTAAATATCACCCAAACCGTACTCTCCGCTCCTCACAAGACCTCCTACTCTCTAGCTCCCTTGTCTCCTCCTCCCATGCTCGTCTCCAGGACTTCTCCAGAGCTTCCCCCATATTCTGGAACTCTCTACCCCAATTTATCAGACTATCGCCTACTCTGCTCACTTTTAAGCGATCTCTGAAAACCTATCTCTTAAGGGAAGCCTATCCTGCCATCAGCTAATACTGGAATCTTCTACTCTTCCAACCAGTCCATCCCCCACAGTTACCTTTTGTACCACTAGCCCCTCCCTCCTAGATTGTAAGCTCCAAGGAGCAGGGCCCTCGAATCCCTCTTGTATTGAACTGTATTGTTACTGTATTGTCTCCCGTTATATTGTAAAGCGCTGAGCAAACTGTTGGCGCTATATAAATCCTGTATTATAATAATAATAAGGCAGATCTTCTGAGTTGCATCCATGTTCAAGGGCCATGACCTAAAAACTGCTGCATTGGATCAGCATGACAGCCAAACATTCAGCTCACTTCCATATGACCACACAGGATGTGGGTAGTGATCGCAGTGCAGATAACAGACAGAAGCACTAACCCTTCCCCACATTACTTTAGTTCAGGGGTCTGCAACCTTTAAGACATAAAGAGCCACTTGGACCCGTTTCCGAGAGGGAAAAAAAAAGACTGGGAGCCGCAAAACCATTGCAACATTTAAAACAAATCCGACACTGCATATATTGCAAAAAGCGCTCTGGTCATGAAGGGGGTTTAAGGGCCCAGTAAGCAAAGGGTTAATCAGGGCCACAGTGTATCGTCATAATCACAATCATAGCCTTAGGTCAGTGGTGGGCAACCTTTTTTTTTCGACTGAGCCAAATCTCGCCAAAACCACGATTGAAATTTATTTTGAGAGAAACATTTTTAAAACTGAAAATACATCCCCCATATAGTAATTTCATCCCCCATATAGTAATTCATCCCCCCTATAGTAATTCATCCCCCCTATAGTAATTCATCCCCCATATAGTAATTCATCCCCCATATAGTAATTCATCCCCCGTAGTAATTCATTCCCCATATTGTGTGAATTCACTTACCTTTGCTCCGCGCGTTCCTCTCGCTGGGTTCCCGCGCCGTTCTGGTCTTGTAAGTTGTAAGATATGCTAATTGACTTTTTAACAGATAAAGACCTTTTTGACTTTAAAAAGCCTAGTCATCTCTTTATATTTTCCTGTCCTATTGATTGGCCTTGTGAGCAGACATATACAAAATGGGTAATGTTGGTGTTATTTTGCACTGTATCTAAATCTAAAAAAAAAATGTTTTCCTTTGAATGCAGATGAAACACATGCAGGAAGCTGAACGCAAAGTAACTGCCTCCCAGAGAGAAATGGAGTTGCTTCGAGGATCTGTGCGTCAGCACAAAGACAAAGTCCAACAGCTCCATGAACTGCTTACATCAAGGGAGCAGGCACACAGGTACTGCTGATTGTCACCAGCATGACAGCTTCCCAGAAGCTTATAAATACTCAGACATGAAATACAGCGCTAGCAATGGTCGTTCTCATCAGTTTAATCTCTTGCTGAGAGGGCCTTGTTTAGATGCTGGATGTAAACTTTGAAAATCTGCCTGAATATTATCATTTAATTTAAATTTATTTCCAAGTGAAATAGACATTCTGAAGCATGAATATAAATAACCAGGTTTTTAACTAATGTATTTTACTTCAGATTTGGAGGGATTGGGAGATCATAGGCCCCTTTGCAATTGTTTTTCTAGGGCTGAATTAAATGTTCCAAAAACAATGTTTTTCTTATATTTCCACAGTAACTGATCTGACATTTGAGCTTTTTGGTCGTGATTGTAGTACCATTTTCCATTTAGAGAGATTAAAGTGTACCAGTGAAAACTTTGTCTGGTTTTTACTGCCATCTGGGACCTTAGTGGGACTCCAGTGGGGAGATTTTGACTCACGTCTTGCCCAAGGTTGCTGAGGAAATATGCAACAGGGACACAGAGAGCAATAAAAACACTTGCTAGGTAGAAAAAGGGGAGGCTGGAACCCTTGTCAGCTTTTTATTGCTGTCTGTTTCAATTACAGATTTTCCTTTACTTCCCAACTTTATGTTATCATTGCCACAGAACAAGAACTAAGAAGAGATGTCTCCAATGATCTCTATGACAGGGATTCTAATACTTCCCAGCTGTATCCAAAACTAAAAAAAAACAAAAAAGTTGCATCTCAAATGCCACTTTAAAGCTGAACTCCAGGGATAAAGCTTTAGCCTTCATTGGTCCTCCCTCCCGACTGCAAGGCTTGACTGCTTGTTTTGCCTTGGGGAGTTTGACTAAGGTTATATGTCTACCTGATACCTTGCTTACACAGGCTTAATCCTCTTTGTGCAACCGGTCCTCCAAAAAGACCAATAGTCCTGCATTGTACAGGAGGGTGCTGAAGGCCTACCCACAACCTAGGATATCAGACAGCACTGGCAACTGGGGGAGGTATGAAGAAGGTAAGTATATCACCTTATTTATCATCCTCTAGGTGAAATAAGCAGTTAAACCTTTCAGTGGGAAGGGGGTTCCACTTCAAGATTAAGATTTTTCGTCCCGGAGTTCAGCCTTAAGGGGACGAGTTTATTTCAAAGTTAAGCACTTTGGGTGAGGGGAGGGGGTGCTTTTAATAAGCTTTCCTTATTGTAGAAGTCTAAGGACTATGCTAATGCAAGGTTCTTGTGATATGATCAGTGCATGTTGGTATATACAATTTTTAGGCAGTAAAAAAAAAAAAAGACTATGTAACATAGTTAACTTTTAAAGATAAGAAATGCTTAACATAACAGATCTATTGTTGATCTAAGTTGTTGATTTTGTAGTCTTGTACATATTTGAGCCCTCAGGCTTTGGGGTACTTGACAAAACACATGACGCTAAATGTATAGGTGGCTATATTCCATTTCTGTTTTAGAACATGTTTTAAATTGGTGTGTGATAGCATGCTGGCATCCCTATGTCAGTCCAGCAGCCCTGCTGAATATCCTGGGTACCCAAAAAACTCAGGATACAAATATCAACCAGCTCCATAGGTTAAATGACTAGTTAAATGACTAGGCCCCCACTCCTCTCACTCTCTGGGCCTCACTATTTGCTAGGGAAAGTACTTGAATGGAAGCTCCCATTTTTATTTATATCTTGACCGATTTTCATATAAATATCTGAAGTTGTAGGTTTATTTTAACCACCTATAAACATTTGCACTGCACTCATTGGTTATTACTGGTGATCCATGAATGTGCAAATTGTAAACATGGGATACTGCATGATCAGCTTACAATGTCACAATATTTTCTGTCGAATAATTTTAAAAGGAAATTTGGCTTCCTTGCTTAGCTGTTCTATCATAACCTGTAACATGAAAAGGCCATAAAGCTGAAAAAGTGTGACATGGCTGACTGCATAACTTTCTTTCCTATGCGATACTAAATTCACCCGGGGCTTTTTCTGTTTTTAAGCCTTGCATTGTATGCATAAGCTGTAGTGCATTTTTACAACGTATGTCTGTCATTGTCAGAATGGAGCTGGAGGCAAGGCTGCCATTAAATGGACCTGAATTCCAGGAAGCTGTAGCCAAGGAACTGTCTAGAGAAGAACAACGTCATAACCAGCAGATAAAAGAGTTCCAAGAGAAGATCAGTGTGCTGACACAGCAGTATGTCGATTTAGAAGATGAATTCCGTGCTGCTCTGGTTATTGAAGCAGCAAGATTTAAAGAGGTACTGTGTTGTGTGAAATAAGCACCTGACTGTAAAAATGTAAACATTTCTGTCTTGATTAGTTCAACAGCATAGTCACAACCCTGTGAACTTAAACTCCTAGTTTTAACCCTTTTATCTTTTATTTCTTTCATGCAATCTGTCTGTATAAAGCTGCTCATAGATAACTCAATTTTCTTTCCTTCCACCATGAGTAGAAGTAAAGAAAATCACTCTGACTGTGTTGATGGGAGAATGCCTCCTGCAGCACTATTGTGTTGGGGGGGCTGCTTGGGGGTATAGCCACCAGTAGTAATCGATTGTAAAAAATCCGATAGGCTGGTTGGATGGATCAACTTGGCTACTATCAGCCCGCCCATACATGAGTTGAATCTCGGCCGATTCAGCAGCTACTTTTGACCTATGTATGGCTGGTCTAAACATTAAGGTATGTGTAGATTTTTTTTTTATGTGTTAGCACTGCTTGCATCTCCAGCAATCTGACCTGCCCCCTGCACAGTGCTCCATTCATCAATCCTGCTCAGCGAACGTGTTTGTTGTTGATTGGAGCACTGGGTACAGTAGGGGTGTCAAACTGCTGGAGAACTGAACCAAGGTACTCTATTTGAGAGCAGTGGTACAAATCTCCAGAGTGCTGTCTGCGCAGGGCGGTTTGATATAGATGGTACTGTGCTATTCTACACATCACTGTTTTGAGCCTGGAGCACTGTTCTAGAAAAGAAAAATGATTTATGTCAGGCTAGGTAATTCTATTACCTTGTTCTGAATTATTGAATTTTTATGTGGCATGTTATGTTCCCATACTTCCCTTCAAATCGACTCAAGTAACAATTGCGACTCACAGTTGGAGTATATGCTGTGGCTGCTGAAATAAGAGGAGCCAAGCTGGAGTGAGCGTCTTCTTCCTCTGTCTGCCTATATCCTACCAGAGCCACTTGTATTTCTAAGGTCTGATTTTATGCAGTGAGTGAAGTGGGAGGCATTGGGCAGCACTCGGGGTGTACATGCTTAATTTCATTTATCAGTGTTAAATAAGACACATCTATGTTGCGCCTTGCCACCAATAATATCCATTTCTGTCAGACTGTGTGGTATCAGAATATATAGATCACTTATAGTGATGGAAGCATAAAAGATGTGGTGCTAAAGGTGTCAGTTGACAGATGATATGCTGTCAATCTTTGAATGGGTAGATGAGACAATTATTATTATTATAATTTTTCTTTATTTATATAGCTCCAACAGTTTGCGCAGCGCTTTACAACATGAGGGCAGGCAGTACAGTTACAGTACAGTTCAGTACAGACGGAAACTTATGGTACAATTTTATGGTACAGTTCATAGAGGCCCTAGCTAGGAATGATGCTCTGCTGGACTTGGTAATCTCAAACCATGCAAAGCTTATTACGAATGTCTATATAAAAGAACATCTGGGTAGCAGTGACCATAACATGATTTCATTTATTGTTAGCTGTAAACAGCAAGCACATATAAGAAAATAAAAACGCTCAATTTTAAGAGAGCTAATTTTCCAAGGCTGAGAGCTGCTCTCCAAGACTTAGACTGAGAGGGAATATTGACATCATTGAACACAACGCAGAAATGGGAGTTCTTCAAAAAGACTGTATGTGAACACACTGCAAAATATATTCCCATGGTCAACAAGTTTAAAAGGCTAAAAATCAAACCTATGTGGCTTACGGCCAAAGTTAAAAAAGATATAGATAATAAGAAAAGACTATTATTAAATATAAAAATGAAGGAATGCTATCATCATTTTAAACATTACAAAGAATATAACAGAATATGCAAAAAGGTAATAATGGCCGCAAAACATGAAAACGAATGACAGATTGCAAAAGATAGCAGGACCAACCCCAAAAAATTCTTCAAATATATTAATAGTAAAAAGGTTCAGTCTGATCATTAAGGCCCTTTACAACAAAATAATCTAGAGTGGGTGACTGGGGACAAAGAGAAGGCAAATTTATTAAATACCTTTTTCAGCTCTGTATATACAAAGGAGCATGGGGGAGCTCTTGTCCATAATGGGCATGGTATTGACACAGCTCCAGATGATCCACATTGGCTCACAATTGATATGATCCAAAAATATTTAGACAGAATAAAGGTGAATAAAGCACCTGGACTGGATGGCATACACCCACAGGTCCTTAAAGAATTGAGCTCTGTCATTTCAAAGCCATTGTTTCTAATTTTTAGGGACTCTTTAATGACTGGCATAGTACTACTGGATTAGCGTAAGGCCAATGTGGTGCCAGTATTTTAAAAAGGGGTCAAAATCTTTACCAAGTAATTATAGACCTGTTAGAAGTTAAACTATAGTTGGGAAGATCCTGTAGAATTTAATAAAAGACCACATAGATGAGTTCTTGCTGGAAAAAAAAAATATTTTAAGCAACAGACAGCATGGATTCATGAAAGACAGAAGTTGTCAAACAAATCTGATTTCTTTTTATGAGGAGGTGAGCAAAACCTTGGCAGAGGGGTGGCAGTGGACGTGGTATACTTGCATTTTGCAAAAGCATTTGATACAGTTCCCCACACACGGCTAATGTGTAAGGTAAAGTCTACAGGCTTGGAAAAATCTGTATGTAAATGGATAGAAAACTGGCTAAAGATCGTGTTCTGAGAGTAGTGGTTAATGATTCATACTCTGAATGGTCTAGGGTTGTCAGTGGTGTACCCCAAGGTTCAGTGTTGGGACCCTTACTTGTTAATATATTTATAAACGATATAGGGTCTGGGATTAAAAATCCCATTTCAGTCTTTGCAGATGACACCAAGCTGTGCAGTGGAATAACGTCCTTACAGGATGTCTCCAACTTTCAAGCCGACCTCAATGCGCTGTTTAACTGGACAACTATGTGGCAAATGACGTTTAATGTTGATAAATGTAAGGTTATGCACTTGGGGGCTAAGAATATGCATGCATCATACATACTAGGGGGGAGTACAACTGGGGGAATCAATGGTGGAAAAGGATCTTTGAGTTCTGGTAAATCACAAGCTGAGGTTGCTAAAGAGAGCAAAATCCTCTCTTGTATTAAGAGGTATAGACTCCAGTGAGAGAGATATCATATTACCTCTGTACAAATCATTAGTAATACCTCATCTGGAATATGCAGTTCAGTTTTGGGCAACAATTCACAAAACGAACATTGGGGAACTGAAGAAAGTACAGAGAAGGGCAACTAAACTGATAAGAGGCATTATGGAGCTTGTGAGAAGAGGTACCAAGGGAACTATAGAGCAGGAGATCTTGGGAGGAACAAAGAGAACTGTTTGGTTGGTATTTTGAGACAAGGTTAGTGATGTAGCTGGGAGCCGAGTTGTGGATGGCTTTGTAATTTATTGTTCGTATTTTGAACTTATTTTGTTGGGTGAGTGGCAGCCAATGAAGGGATTGGCAGAGGGGGTTAGCAGACACTGAATGGTTGGTAAGGTAGACTAGTTGGGCAGCAGCATTCATGATGGACTGAAGGGGGGATAAGCCTATGTAAAGGTAATCCAATGAGGAGGGAGTTGCAGTAGTTGAGGCAGGAGATGACCAGAGAGTAGATTAGAAGCTCTGTGGTGTCATTGGTTAGGAAGAGCTAATCCTCTATTGTCTATGGAACAGACCACTACAGTCCTAAACAGGTGTTCTCAGGGGTAAATGTTTGCCTGGACACTTTAAAAAACCTAAATTGATTGCTATTATATTTTACTTGATAAGTCATGTGTCTTGCTTTAATTTGCTTTGTTTCTCATCAGAAACATCTCCTGTCCCCCAGGGAGCAAAATGCATGAAGCATGGTGGTGTGTTTGACAAATCCCCCCCCGCCTGCCTTCCTTCCCTGCTGAATGGCTAGCAGGAGAGGGGCACACAACAGCTCTATGAAAATGAGGAGGAGGAGGTGGTGGCAACACTAATGTCTTTTAGTTCCCCATAGGAAAACCTACAAGTTGGGCTTCAACCTAGGTGCAGCTTGCAGTCAACACAAACCAACAAAGACATGCTATTATTGCACAATATGACCACGGATCAGAAAGGGACCGAGTTCCACTTGCACTTTCTCCCCTGGCAGATTCAAGAATGACTTTTAGACTCTGGCGACACTTCTTATTTAACCAGTGACACATGACCAGTGTGCCCATTTTTTGGTTTGAGATGGTTAGATCATGCAAACATGTGACCATTCAGTAGTGTCTGTGGCAGCTTTAGTTGTCAAGAATTTGTGACTTGGGATGTCACTAGAAATAGGATTTGGCTGGCAAATAACCCCTTCCAAAAAAAGGACTTATGGTCAGCTGTCATTTTGCTGATGATGCCCAGAAGCCAAATCAGCCGTGTCCACTTGTAGGTTATTTCTGGACTTGTGATGGCTCTGTACCTTTTAAGTGAACCTGTATGTTGCCCATACCAGCAAAGTAATAGATGCACCTTTAACAGTTTTCTCTCCAACTACTTGCAGCAGGACAGGTGTCAAGAGGGGCTTTGTTTTGTGCTTTGTACATATTTTTGTCTATTGCTATATTCCGTCAAAAGGAGAGCATTAATATTATTTAGGTTTGTTTGAAAATGTTGTTATTGCTGTTTTTTGGGGGGTTTTTTTTTTTTGCTGTAGTCCTAGAGATACATTCATGATATGAAAACTTCTATAATTTGTTGATGGCAATACAATTTCTTATTGGAATTGCTTTAAACTTGGAGAATGCAATTTGCCCCCTGTAAGTAATAGATAACAGCAGTCAATGCTAGTTGGATACACAGCATCTCACATCAAAGGATGAAGCAGACTTTGGAATGAACACTGTGATTTACTCAGAGATAGAAAAGGGGGATGTGGACAGACTGGGAAATTATATCACAAAGCAAGTATAATTCATGCAAGTGTCTGTCTTTGGTAATAACCATTCAGCTTTTCCATTAACTTCAACATTATGTCAGTCCCTCAAAAACATTCTTCACAGAAATGTGTGTATAGATCATAAAATGCAGTTAAGCATCAGCAGCGGAAATCACTTTCTCTGGATGGAAATTCTCTGGGGCATTCTGTAGCTTTATTGATATTGAAAGATTTAAGGGGAGATTATGGTTTTAATTGCAATTCTTTACTAGTAATTGGAAAACTCAGAGAATATATAGAGGCAAAATACATAATAAAAACCCTAAGAACACATCCTTGTGGCTACACCTAACGGAAAGATGACAGATGCTCAATCTGTTTAGAGGAAACTTGCTGTGAGAAATATAGCTGCTGTTGTCGACCTCCACCTGAAAATCCTAGTTATCTGGCTGCCTCTTGCCTCAGTGCTTTCAGTGACTGACCTTGAACACTCATGCAGCCAGTCAGAGCTCTTCATCTGCTTTTTTTTTCTGCTCAGTGACTCAAGCTGATTTTGCTGCAATGCTTACCTTCAATTTGGATCTGTTCCCCACAGTAAACCATGCCATGCCACCACCAAATGTTTCAAGTCTTTTGGGTGAATGGGTGGCCAGTGTCACCCCCCCCCCCCCACATCCTTTTTTTTAATCCTGTATGTATGAGCATTAAGACTAGCATGGGCAGTAGCTGCAACCAGCAAGCAGAAATGTAAACCACCAGGTGTACAATAACATAAATACCCCAACATTCAGTACTAGACAATATAGTGGAACTATCTAATCTGATTGTAATTTAAAATACAAATAGAGGTTTCAGTTGCACACAATTGAAAATATATGTGGGACACTGAAAGCTCCTGGTGCCTTTGTTAGGCTGGCCATAGATGGATAGAAGATCATTCGAAAAAAACGTTCAATCATTCGACTTTCTAACTGTTAGTGGGCTCATTTTGATTCTGTCGGAATTTTGTAGTGTCAGCGAACGATTTTCGAAACGTGAGTAGTGGAATTGATTGGGAATAACTTGGAAAATCATAAACATATATGAGCATGTGAAATCGATCGACAAAAAATTTACCTTTTATGGTATAAATTAATGACAATGTCATCAAGTGGGAGAAAAAACGTGTATCATTGATGGCATAATCACATGCTGATTCAACAGATCTTTAGCAAATGTGAACAAATTTTCGTGCAATTTTTCTACCCATCTATGGCCAGCTTTAGGCAGTCTGACTTTTACATTTGATACTGGGACATACATCATGGCATTAAATGAATTAAAAGCAAGCATACCTAGAGGTTGCCCCATCATTTTTCCCTTGTGCCTACACATGGCAATGATGTTACTTTTTTTTTTTTTTTTTTTTTTTTTTATTTGAACAGTATGACCTGAGTGCCAGTTTTTAGTATACTGACAGCAAGCAAATAAAAGGTTAGTTAAGCTATGTTTTCCAGCATGCTGTTGTGTTTTTATTTATTTTTTGGTAAGTGGAACAACTTTTTAAAAAGTAGCTGTCCACAAAAAGGAACAGATTACCATGTATTTTTGATGTACAATCCCAGATAAATATAATTTGACCAACAATGATTTCAAGGGCAGGTTATTATACGAAGAATTAAGTGATCTTTTTTGTTTTTCAATAAGTTCCTGCTGGTAGTCATGCTCATTTTCTCCATATTAGCCAAGAAATCAATGGACAAATAAGCAGTATTAGGGTATCTACTTACAGTGTGATTGGCCTACTGTGCCTTCTTGTATATCAGGGATGTCCAACCTGCAACCCACAACGGCTATGAATGTGACCCAAATCGTAAACTGAAAAATACTTACAATTGCAGGTTTTTTTTGGGGGGAGGGGGGTGTCTTTTGTAAAATGCCTTTACACGCGGTAAACACTTTTTACTTTTATAATAAAAAATATTGCAAAAAATTCATTTTTATTACTCAGGTGCATTATCTGTATCAGTGATCGTTACCTTGTGCTCTGTCTAACCTTTTCTGCTCATCAGCTATCCTTATTGTTAGTGTATTTTATGTGTGGCCCAAGACAATTCCTCTTCTTCCAATGTGGCCCAGGGAAGACAAGTTTGACACCCCTGCTATATACTATTTTTTAATGTACGGATCAAAGACTATAGACCTCTAGTAGACACAAGGTTTTAGCACTTGCTGACACTGCTTTCAAACTGTAAACATTCAATGTGCTATAAACAGATTCGCCATAATAAAAGTATATTGTGAATAATGTGTATTTTTGTTGTATCAGGTGAAAGATGGCTTTGACAATGTCACAGCAGAGCTAGCAGAGCATAAGGAAGCGCTGTCCCGGATCCGTCTGAAAGAGAAGCAGTCAGCAAGTTTAATCCATGAGCTTACCACTATGGTGAAGGAACAGAAGACCAGGATTGCAGACATCACCAAAACAAAACTAGAAATCATTAAAGATCTGAAAGTATGTTTGTGTTGTACTGTAAACTAATAGTTAACTAGATTCCAGAGCATGTAATGTTTTAGATTGTCTGATAATTAGCATTGCCTTTTAGTAAGTTTACTGGCATTCCAAAATCTTATTTGCTGCACAGAATGGTCCAGGGGAGTACTTTGAGGGATGTAAGCAGGGTGCCCCAGGAGCTGCATCCAGTGGGGGCATTCTTTCATCTCTTCCCCATCAGTGAAATGGTGAAGGGATCCTTTAGACTTCTTTGCCATTTCACAAAATCTGCCCTATATCCTCTGATCAGAGCAGGGCCCCCCAAAGGAAAACTTGTTAAATAAGCTTGGAAAACAAACTTTTTTTTTTTTTAAGGGCAATATTGGAGATATGCTCGTGTTTAAAGTAGATCTATAGCCAGAACTTTAAAAAAGAAAATTGGAATAGGGAATGATTGAAACCCCTGTCATATTCTATAATGTACAGCTGCTGAGCAAACCTTTTGGCGCTATATAAATACTGTATAATAATAATAATATTTTTGGTTTTCCTTCGTGTGTCCCATAACTAAAGGTTTTAACTTTTTCACTTCCTGTCCTATCAACACAACAGGAAGTGAGAGAGGATCTCTCCAAAATGAGGAATATTTTCTCTGACAGTTGTCATTAGAACGCATGTTCCCTTGGAAATATTTCCACTTTATTCCTGTTTTGGTCATTGGGCACAGGACAAATAGAGAGAGTGAATCTCCCTAATGGGGACACAGACAGCAATAAAAATCTGACAAGGGCTTGAGTCCTTCCCTACACTATTCAAAACTGAAAAACGGAGGTTTAGATACCGGGTCATTTTTGGATTGGGTGTTGAGGGTTGAAGTTGACTCAGTTTGCAGTAGGTGAGGAGAGTAGTACTTTAGCCATGAGGAAAGTACAGTAAAGGGGGGGAGCGAGGATATGTTGTAATGGAGCAGAACGAATTTGGGGAGGTGAGGAATTGTATAGTTGGTGTCCTGGGAGAAAGGACAGTAAGGATATGAGGTGTTTAAAGATACAGTACTCTGGCTAGAAGGACGACAGGCTACAAAGGAATGGATACAGATTGTGGAACTAAGGATTATGGTAGAGTTGCCAGAAGACCAGACAGAAAGCAAATGAGCAGGAGCTGAGAGATCTTGCGAGAGAGAGGATAATAGGTTGCAGAGTAGCAGACCAGGCTGTTTGATAGAATTCGTGTGGTGGATCACGAAGGAGAACGGAGAGCAAGGATTCCATAGATAGAAGTATCTGTGGGGTGCGGAAGGAACACCTAGGTGGGAGCATGCATGTTGGAGTAAAATTGCAGACCGGAAGAATCCACCAGTTAAAAATCTAAAGTGAAAATCCACCTTTGAAGCTGAACTCCAGGCAAACCTCTAAACAAACAGATGAAATTCATACAGTATAAGGAAGCTGCTTTACCTGCCAATTGGTTTATATTTCTCCATCTAGTCCTAATATTCACACAGCCCTATCACACAGCATTTGACATGACAAGCAATGTGGATGCATTGTTTTGCCTCATCACCACCTGGTTTTAACCCCTTGAAGCCCTCACTAGCGTGGTTGCAATGCAGTATTCATCTCTATGGGGAGCAGGGGGTGTAATTCCTGCCACAGAAGAAAAGCATCATGGCCGTGGCATGTCTACACCCCCAGACACTGACACCGGCAGCTAAAGTGGTGGTGGGGTGTTAAAAACAAAGCTGCTGAGTTATATGGCAAGCCCCACTATCACCCACACCACTAATGTGAACAAGCCCTAACTGTCTAGGAATACAGTGGTGGCCTCTCTACACCCCCAGTCTGCTGATTGGATAGTGAAATGGTAACATCAGACTAATGGTTATCTTTCTGCTGTTTCCCTCATATCCGCCTATTTGCATGCATCACGCTAGTGTTGCCCCTCCCTCTCCCAGTTTGAGTACTGTTGCATATTGAAATAGAGACAGATTTGTATTTTAAAGTATATCTAAAGCCAAAACTCAGGACTGGAAGAAAAATTCAAGTACTTACACTAGTTTATATTAAAAATATACTTTTAACTTTGAATATCATTAATGGATAGAGGGCTGCATTATTTTGTGTTTTTTATATCTGCTTGTAGTTCAGCTTTAATTATATGCTGTGTATTTTCTCATTTTGGCAATAACACTGTTTTACTGTATCTGCAGAGTAAACTACGCAGCCTGGAGATGGTGGCAGAAGAAGAAAAGCAAAAAAACTGTCCAAATTCAGCTTCTAAAACAAGAAAAATCTAAGCTCATTTCACAGCTCACTGCCCAGGAGTCACTGATCGATGGATTAAAAGCTGAAAGGAAAATATGGGGACAAGAGCTCACTCAACAAGGTAAGATCATTACATTGATGTGTAGAACAGAACTCGCTATTTCAGTGGGTTGGCTACAGTCTGTTTCTCCTAATTCCTTCAGATCTCTCTTGTGCTTTGCTTGTCTCTCTACTGGGATTTTTGGCTGAAAATAATTGATACTACGACCAATAACGTGATCAGGCACTGCAGCTGTGTTGTGTGCTCTGAATGATGTTGTGATTGAAATTGACCTGTCATATTTATTTGCACACGGGTGTCCCGTTTGTCCATTTTTCATCCATCCATTGATGGATGAAAAACGGACATCAATGCATGTCTATGGAAAAACTGATGTAAACAGATGATCATCCATTTACATCCGCATCCGTCCACATTCGGTTTTTTTTTTTTTTTTTAATTGATCGAAACCCTTTTTTTTGTTGCCTGCCTTAGGATTTACACCCCTTCCTGACCAGGCCATTTTTTGCGTTACGGCGCTGCGTTACTTTTAACTAACAATTACGTGGTTTTGCAACGCTGCACGCTAATGAAATTTACGTCTTTTTTTTTTTCCCCACAGATTGAGCTTTCTTTGGGTGGTATTTGATCGCCTGTGTGTTTTCTTTATTTTTTGTGCTATAAAAGAAAGACCGACAATTTTGAGGAAAAAAACAGTATTTTTGACTTTTTGCTATTAAACATGTCCAGTAAAAAAAAAAATTAAAAAAAATCAAATTTCGGCATAAATTTAGGCCAAAATGTATTCTGCTACATGTCTTTGTTAAAAAAAAAAAAAAAAATCCTAATACGTGTAAATTAATTGGTTTACGTGAAAGTTATAGCGTTTAATGACAGTGTAGATACTGGAATTTTTTTTTTTGTCACTAGTAATGGTGGCGATCAGCGACTTATAGTAGGACTGCAATGGGCATCCTGACACTGGGGGGAACTGACTTGGTGTCACAGTGACAGTACAGTGATCAGTGCAAAAAAACCCCTACACTGTACTAATGACACTGGGCAGGAAGGAGTTAACATGAGGGGTGATCAAAGGGTTAACTGTGTGCTGGGAGTGTTTTACTGGGGGGTGGTGTGTTGGAGCTTCACTGTAAGCACACTGCTCTGGATGGCATTGCACAGCACAGCCATCCAGAGCAGTGTGCCCGATCCGACAGAGAGGAGGACTGTTAGTAAACAAAGCAGTCCTCCTCCCCGTCGGAGATGCTTGGTAATCACCAGGCGCTGGTGGGAAATCACCGGCCAGGACCCGGTGATTGACAGCCGCGGCCGCAAATGGCGCTGCGCTTATTTCGCGCGCGCCCCCCTACCCGGAAGTACAAAATCACATATATATGTTATCTTGCACACCCCTGCTGCCCTGTAGCAGTTTATCTGCTATAGGGCAGTCAGGATGTGGTTAAAAAATGGAACAGAGAACAAATGGATGTAAACATACAAACGATCCGTTTTTGTATTGGTTGTTAGGACCTGGCACCCACTGGTGTCCTAACAACTAGTGACTCATCTCTGCTGTCAGCGGGTATTCCTGCTGACAACAGAAAGTAAGCAAAAGAAAAAAAAAAAAGAATGCGTGGGGGGCGGGGGGGTTGGGTGGATGTGTGTACTGCAGATAGAGCAAGGTGGGGAAGAAAGACAGAAGAGGACAGGCGCAGTATGTACAGTGAGGGAACAGTGTATACAAAAAGACAGGCTCCCTCGCTTTCTGGCACTAACCGTAATTGCCGGATTTTTTTTTTTCTGCATATCTCCAAGAAGGATCTGTCATTCAGCCCCGCCATTGATGTCACTGGGTGAACCCACCCCTTTGTTTATTTAGCGGTGGGGTGAATGACAGCTCCTTCCCTGCAGTATAGAGTAAAGAAAAAAAAAAGGCAGCAGTTACATTTAATGTAATGACGGGTAGTGCCAGCAAGTGAGGAAGCTTGTCTGTATATGCTTCCTCACTGTATACATTGTTCTTCTCCTCTCCTAACCCCTTCTTGCACACACTGACAGCCCCCCCCTTACCCCCTCCCTATGGTCCCCTATGTGATAGCAATAAAATCATAAGTAAGAAAATAAATACTTAAAAAGACACACAACACATTTTACAAAAGTAAAAAAGATTTCAGCCTCCCCACCCCCACATACACAGACATACAATCATCAGATGAGCATGTAAAAAAAATGACAATTTCTGCTAAACATGTTGCATAGCACCGTGCACGCCAGTGTGAGATCAATAATTCTAGCACCAGAGCTCATGGGTAATACTAAACTGATGACCTGTAGGGACTTTTAAAGCGTCACCTATGGAAAATATAGGTATTGAATTATTTTGCTGTTTTAAGGGGTGCACGCAATTTTAATGCTTGACTTGTTGGGTATCTGTTTATTCAGTGCAACTTTATCTTTTATATTTAAAAACAAAAATGTGTAAATAATTGTGTTTGTATGCCCTAAAGGTAAATTTAATGTATTTTTTACAAAAATTTTGCATTTTCTAAACCGTTGTGCTAACATCATGTAACATAAAAAATTGGAACTGCCAAAGATTTGTTCTCTACGGTGTCTGCTTTCTGAAATTTTATAATGTTTGGGGGTTTAAGTAATCAGGCCTAAAATTATTTTTTTTAATCATGTAAACCAAAAATGTTAAAAATTTGAAAAAATAGCTCTGGGACTGTAAAAACTGATGTAAAATGATCCGTTTTTTTTTTTTTTTTTTCTTTGAAAACAAATGTAACTGAACTGATGAAAAAAAAACAGAATGCCCGTGTGAAAGGGCCCTAAAGAATTGATATAACATGATCTTTTCATGGCTCATATTGTAAATATTGTAACTTATTGCTTTTATTAATTAATCTGATTGTGTATCCCCTCTGCCATTTGTGCTGTGATATAGGTGTCTCACTGGCTCAGGATAGAGGAAGGCTTGAAGCTAAAATTGAAGTTCTTTCAACAGAGATGGAAGCCCTGAAAAAGCAAAATGAGCGTGACAATGACGCATTAAGGATTAAAATGAAAATGGTTGAGGATCAAACGGAGACCATTAGGAAGTTAAAAGAAGTGAGTAATGTTTCCAAAGCCTGCTTCTGTACAGTAAACCTTTAAATCAGAAATAAACATTCCACAGCAGCTAATGCAGCTATATAGGAAAGGTAAAACTTTTAGAGCCTATTCCCTCCTATTGCATTGCAGTAACTCTCAGCAACGCACGTTACCGGTGTTTGTGCCATGCATTGACATTTATTGTAAATGGGACCCCCATGCCCCTTGCTGATGGACCTTGTGGACAGTGGTAGCAAGATAGCAGGAGCAAGAGTTGTCACCCCTGCCATTTGTTGTGGTTCTGTTATGTAACGAATGATGTCTAGGCTTCTCCATTTCAATCTGCATTGCAAGACCTTCTACAGCAGAAGATTTTTAACACAGAAAACTGGGACCCTTTAGTGAAATATCATGGAGGGCCCTGCATCTCACACAGCATGTGCGTCTTATCAGGATGATGAGCAAAGCAGGCCATTGACAGAGCGATATACTTTCCTGAACCACGGGCTAGGGGAATCCCTCCCGTAGATTGCCTATACATGGTTCGAATCTCAGCCGGTCCATGCTGTACCAGTCGAGATTTGAACCGGCTATGGTCGACTTTATAAATCCAATTTTTGAGGAGTTGCCACCTATAGGTGTAAACTAGTCTTGCTCAAGCTATCCTTTTCTTAGAGCTATTGTAGCTGAAGGGCTGGAATTAAGTCTGCCAAACACTAGGAAAACAGTAATCGGGGTGACCTTGTTGTTTAACCACTTGCCTACAGGGCACTTATACCCCCTTCCTGCCCAGGCCAATTTTTAGCTTTCAGCGCTGTCACACTTTGAATGACAATTGCGCGGTCATGCAACACTGTACCCATATGAAATTTGTATAATTTTTTTCACACAAATAGAGCTTTCTTTTGGTGGTATTTAATTGCCACTGGGTGTTTTTTATTTTTTGCGCTATAAACAAAAAAAGAGCAAAAAATTTGAAAACAAAAAGTTTTCCTTTTGTTTCTATTATAAAATTTTGCAAAAAGGTAATTTTTCTCCTTCACTAATGTGAGTTGATGAGGCTGCATTGATAGGCAGCACTGATGGGCACTGATAGGCAGCACTGATGGGCACTGATAGGCAACACTGATGGGCACTGATAGGCAGCACTGATGAGGTGGCACGGATAGGCAGCACTGATGGGTACTGATAGGTGGCATTGCTAGGCGGCACTGATGAGCTGGCACTAATGATGCTGCATTGATAGGCGGCACTGATGGACGGCACTGATGGGTACAGGTGGGCGGCACTGATGGGTACAATAGGGTGGCACAGGTCTGCGGCACTGCTGGGAACTGATCGTCAATGCCCTGATGATCAGTGCCGATCCCTTCGCTTACAATTGCCGATTCTCCTCAGTACTTTCCTCATGCTGTGACAGCGTGTGGAAAGTGCAGCCGATAACCGGCAACTGCATTTACCAGTGATCTGCTGTGTCATTGGACACAGCTGATCACGTGGTAAAAGGCCGCTGTGATTGGCCGTTTACATATCACGTGATCAGCTGTGTCCGTAGGACATAGCAATCACCGGCGGAGCCAGGTGCGGGGAGCGCACGGGGCGTGTTCTGAAATGACTTCCATGGAGGTCGTTTCAGTACCAGACAACCGCACTGTAGCCGTCCTTCGGCTATAGTGCGGTTGGGAACTGGTTAAAGGGATTATTGAGGAAGTTCAGTGAAAAAAAAACGTATCTGCATGTGTAACTAAAGTGTCCATAAAAAATCAAGTCAGGTGATTATATCAACAATTCACATGCGTTATCCATGAGAGTATGAAGCAGCAATGGTGTGCCACTGCAACCTCAAATCAGTGCTTAAGTGCAGATCCCTGCGCTACACAGCTCCTTACCAGATGAGATGATATCGATGTAATGAGATCTACATGCACTTAGTTGTCATACAGCTACATTTCATTTCCCATGCTTCAGCTCAGCAGCGCTCATCTGATATAAATAAAGCAGAAGAACACAGGGCAAAACTCATGATGTCGTATAAAAATAATCAGAATTTAATAAACAAAAAGAAACTTGTGTTAATATGATCAGAAGATTGGAAAACAAACACAGCATTGATCAAAAGCACATGGGACTGGGTGGCGTGCGTGATGACGTCACGAATCCGAAGTTCCGCCCAATGCGTTTCTCCTCAAATGGCATCGTCAGGGATGCAGTTGCACACTGTTGATGCTTATACTTTGACGGTGGATAAAGCATGTGAATCGTCAATATAATCACCTGACTTTTTAACGATATTATATGTAGATGCATTTTTGTTAGTAGTGAGGTACATTTTGTTTATACTTATTTAAAGTGATAACGGCACTTTTTTTGTGTATGTGTATTTGTTTAGTATTCTGACATTTTAGTGTGCTGCTATTACACTATGCAAGGATTTGTATATTATTTTCTTGGGGCGTGGCAACCCATCAATGTTACTTTAGTGAGATTTCCCACAGAGGGCAGGAGCTCTCCATACAGTCCGTAAGCTTGCTAGCCTGGTTAATTGTAACTGTATATTGAATATACAGTTTATAAGGGGGTGTATGCTTTCCCTACTCATATTAGTATATAATATTATTAACCAGTAACTTTGGTATGTGGAGTATCATTTGTACTCTGATTGTCAGGGGCTGCAAGAGAGGGATGAACGCATCAGAAAGCTGCATGCCGAAAATCTTGAGATGGAGAAAGCATTAAGAGAACAGAATGATGAAAGAGCAATACAATTACATGAACTGAAAGAAAAGCTGGAAAGGCAAACAGAAAGAAAGGAGGAAATAAAGCTGCAGCTAGAAGAGAAGGAGGCTGAGCTGGAAGATGTGAAGAAAGCTTATAGGTGATTAAGCAGCCTCTGGAGCAGAGGTTTTAGTAAATGTAGCATGTGCTGTTTGATGTGAAATCTGTGCTCATTTGAGGCATTTGCTCTTTCTATTCATAGTGCAATGAATAAGAAGTGGCAGAATAAAGCAGAATTATTAAGCCAGCTTGAAACACAAGTCAGGCAGATGAAAGAGAATTTTGATGCCAAGGAGAAGCGGCTGATTGAAGAGAGAGACAAAAGCCTTCAAAACCAGAAGTGAGTATAAAGCTATGCTGGATTTTAAACTTTGTAAAGGTTTGGTGAATCCCACTTTATATCGAAATGGTTAGTAGCCTGTTTTATGTGTAATTTCTGTCTATTATGTACTCCTCTCTGCTTCCCCGTACAATTACTTCAACAAACTGTCACTGCTTAATACTTTTGTAGAGTGTCCTGAGGCGTTGTACATTCCCTAGTCAAGCTCAATACTATTGGCATAATGTGTGTTTTTCAGTTAACACACACTTAGCCTCTTATATATGAATTATTGACTGAGGACAGTTCACGCAGGCCGTGTGCACACAGGCATTCCAATAGGGTGTTTTGTGCACATTCTTGACACTTGTGAGTACTTTCTGAGTCCCAGGAAGAAAGCAATATTGTTCAGTCTAAACAAACACTTAAAAGTGCAGAATGCAGTGGGCCCTCTATGTCGCAGGAAGAGCACTGGACAACTTGCTTTGATGCACCTGTATGTACCAGGTTCAAGAAACTGGGATCATTTGAGTATCAGTCCTGGTTGGGGCACTTATATATAGCACATTATGTAAATTAGTGTAATAAAAGCTGTGTTGCAGACAGAAGATGAAACTGTTAACAGATTGCTTTTTTTTTTTTTTTTTTTTTTTTTTTTTTTTTAATTTAAATATTTATTAGTTTTTCATTTTTTACAAAAAAAATTCCATAAGAAGAGATAACAATACATATAAATATTCCATACATTTCTACCTTGCCCCTTCTAATAAATCTTTTCTTTCCCTCCCCTCCCAACCCTTTCCCCCCCCCCCCCCTTCCCCCTCCCTCCCCTTTGCACGTTCTATACTCTCTCGAGGCCCAATAGTTTCTTAATTTATAGTTTTCTATACTTCTTTCAGTCCTGATTTTTCCCATTTTTCCCATCTTGTATAGTATATTTCCATCCTATCTTCCTGCATATAGTAAGATTTTTCCATTCTACTTATCTGATTTACTCTGTTGATCCAGTCTTCCTCCTTCGGCACCTCTGATTTTTGCCAGAACTTGGGTATCAACCCCTTTGCAGCATTTAAATAGTACCATACGCCTGATTCTTTATATTTATTTACTGTGATCCCAACACTATGTAGGAGACATATCGTTGGGTCTAATCCTATGTCATTTCTATTGAGTTAACTATTATCTTCCAGAAAGCCTGAATTTTCGGACATTGCCACCAAATGTGAAACACCGTGCCCTCCTCCCCACAGCCTCTCCAACACATTTTAGAATTCTCCCCCCTCATCTTGTGCTCAATACTCGGTGTGATATGCCATCGTGTCAAACATTTATAGTTAATCTTCACATCTCTCATACTAACATTCTCGTGTATCAATCTATATATCTTGTTCTGTTGGTCCTCGTCTAACACCACCTCCATATCTCTTTCCCATTTCGTTATAAAAATTAACTTTGTGTCTGTGTCTAATTCTGTGAGTATTCTATAAACTTTGGCAATTCCGTGTTTCCCATCTCTACGTGTTTCCAACAACCTTTCAAACATATTCCAATCCTTTTTTAATCTCAGGGGTTTTGGTAGTTTTCCAATAAAGCATTTTAACTGATGATATTTCCACTCGTCTATTCCAATAAAACTTTCTCCCTTCTCTTTTAATTCTTTAAATGGTCTCAATTCCCCCTCTACCAGTACATCTCTCAGTTGGATATCTTCCCTTTTAAACCATCTACCAGATATCTCATCCTTTCCTGGGGGGAAATAATCAGAATTTACAAGAGGCATTGAAAATATAGAATTGAATTCCCATTTCCTACTTTTGTGTAAATTATCCCATATCCTTAAAACATTTAAAGTGTAAATACTTGTGCTTTCTTTAACTCTTCTAAGATGTGCTGGAACCCATATCATCTTACTCAAACTAATCCCACTAAATTCGTTTTCAATTTTTACCCAACTCTTCCCCTTGTGGTTGAATGTCCAATCATAAATTCTTGCTAAAATTACTGCTTTATAGTATCTCTTGACATCAGGTAGTCCCATTCCCCCTTTCTCTTTAGTTCTACTCAATATTTCATAAGATATTCTTGATTTTTTGTTCCTCCAGATATATCTTATTAACATTTTTTTCATTATCTTAAACACCTCTGGCAGTTTAATTGGGACCATTTGGAATCTATACAGTATTTTAGGTATGATTACCATTTTAACTAGTTTATAACGTCCTATCCATGATGGGTTTCCACCTTCTAATATTTTTAATTCTTCCTTAATCTCATTTATCAAAGAAATATAGTTTAATCTATACAGTTGTTTATATGAGATAGCAAGTTTTATTCCTAGATATTTTAAATCTTTTTCTCTCCATGTAAAGGGGAACTCTTTTTGTAGCTTTTCCTTTTCACTCTTTGGTATGTTGATGTTCAAGATCTCTGTTTTTGTTGGATTAATTTTTAAATTTGATAGATCGCCATATTCCTTCAAGATCTTCATTATATTTGGTAATGTTATTCGAGGGTTGTCTACATAAAACAATAAGTCGTCCGCAAAGGCTGCTACTTTATGCTCTGTATTTTCTATCTGGATTCCCTTTACGCTCCACTATTCCTTATCGTAGACAACAGGGGTTCCAATGACAGAACAAACAGCAAGGGGGACAGTGGGCAGCCCTGTCTTGTTCCATTGGACATTCCAATGGATTCCGACCTCTCCCCATTTACCGTGATAATTGTGGTGGGCTCCCTATATAATTTACCTATCCACTCAAGCATTCTCTCTCCAATCCCCAACACTTGTAAGTTGTCCATCATGAAGCCCCAGTCCACTCTAGTTAACAGATTGCTTATAGTGCAACTGCACTGCATCTGAGCACAACATACCAAAAAAGCTATTTAATTCATTTTTAATATTCAAAACCCATCCATCCATCCGTGTCTCCATTTATTTTGCTGAAAAATCATTTTGAAAAACACCCCCTGGCATTTATGGCAGTGGTCATCTTGAATAAGGGTAGATGATTCATGTAGCATTTTCTTCCTGGAATCCATCTACCCTTAGCTCAGGCATTGGCTGAGCTGAGAATCTGCTGTATTTTTTTCACTCAATATTAATAATTGTACTGCTTGTTCTTTAGTTATTGGGTAGTGCGGCACATTTTTGTTATTCATCTTTTTGACACTACTGATAGTAGAGATAGGTGCTAGCAGCCACTCAGGTTTCTTGAGGGTATTGGCAGCGCAGGAGGTTTCTCTCATTATTTATGCATGTTGTTTTTAATAATGTGCACTTTACATATATTTTATAGTGTATGAGTTTATTTGGTAGAAACTAAAATAAAAAAATATAAATAAAAATAGAACTTTTGTACTTACTGTAATATCTGTTTCTTGTAGTCTATTGTGGGCCATGATTCAGTTACAGTCATGGTTATACTGCCACCTACAGGAGGATTTGACACCAGCAAACAGAAAAATGAGCCAGTCCTCATATAACCCTCCTCTACTGAGCATGCCTCAGTTTTAGGGTAAAGCAGTGCCAAAACTATACTCCCCAAACTAGCATACATCAGCTTGAATCGACTCCCAGGACACGATAACTATTATTGTTCAAAGGAAACAGTGATGGATGTTTAGGCATGCATGGCGTCTCTTTATGTAATCTGAATATATGCAGTGATTATACTCAAGAAGTGTTATGAACTTGTGTTTGGAGTCATGTTCTAGTATCTACATATGGCAGACATCTTTGGATCCACAGTATTGAACCAGGTTTTGGTGTATGCAAGTTGGAGTGGAGTGCAAAAAGCTTTTATGCAACTGTTTAGACCCATTTTGTCCTCATGCGGTATGGGATGGAGATCTCATGTTGTGCACGACCCTACTTGGTATGTTATGTACAGGTACATCTGCCACGTCCTAACTGAAAATCACTTCTGTAACCCTGAACTTGGAAGTACCAAGTGAGGGAAAAAAATTGGCAGGTGCATGCAAAATTTACCAGCCATACTCTACACAGACAACTTTCAAGCCATGGTCTAAAAAACTCCTGGTCTCCCCAACGCAGTGTCAACAGCTGTGGAGCAGGAAATAGGCATCTTAGCAGAATCACTAAGAATATTCACACAATTAAGGAGATAAAAAAGAAGGCAACTGGAGGATACCTCCATAAAAGGGCTTTGGATGAACCACAGAAGGACCAATTTCCAGGTAAACAGGTCAAGTCCTTTGGATGTACTGTCACATACCTAGTCGCGTTAACAAGAGGGTTTCCCTTACATCTCTTTTCCTGTGCCCCTGGGGTTGATGGCAGGATATAACAGGGCACAGGGTGGCATAGGTGCCTGTAGGAGATCTGGGCCCGGGAGATCATGTAGTTGATGCAAAACTGAAGAAGGCAAGCTGGCAAATGAAGGATATCAGATGTGTGGTTAGGTGGGCAGAAGCTGGGCGGCAGAGGTGCAGAATCAGGAAATGGGAGCAGAGTCAGAGCCAGGCCAAAGTCAGTGTCAGGTGAGCAGAGAAGGTAGCAGCAGGCAGGAGGCAAGGTGGAGTCACAAGCTGGAGCCAGCAACACAGTTTGAGGAGTATATAGAGTCAAAGAAGCCAAGTCAGAACACAGGAGTAAACGCAGGATCGAGTCACAGGTAGAGAGAACTGACAACCACTCAACAATGATCCTTGTATCCAGTCTTGCAGTGCTTTAAATGTGCTGTGGAGATCTGTAAAGTAGAATGGACCAAAATCCCTCCTGAGATGTGTGCAAACCTGGTAATCAACTACAAGAAACCTCTTTTACCTTTGAGCTTGCCAACAAGGTTTTCTCCACCAAGTACTAAGTCAGGTTTTGCTTTGGGATCAAATAATTATTTTACTCACTGAACTGCAACTCAACTTTTAACATTTGTATCGTGTTTTTTCTGGATTTTTGGTTGATATTCTGTCTCTATCATTTAACTTACACCTATAATAAAAAATAAAAATCCTTCAAAAACTTACAAAATCTGCAGGGGATCAAATAATTATTTTCCCCACTGTATGAATATCTGCTTTAAAGGTTCCAATTTGTTATCCTTGCCTGTGTTTACATTGTAAGACTGAAACATTTGAAGTATTCAAGCTTTTATTTTGCCATTATTAAAGCGGAACTTCACTCTCTCAATTAACATGGACTATTTTTAATCCCTATGCTGATAGCGTTAGTAAATGGATAGAAAAGTATATGATATGTTTTAAATTGTTTTTACATGTCTTCAGTTACTTCCTGGTTTCCATACCAAGGCAAATGATGTAATATATCCCAGGAGTCTTCAGGAGGGGAGGGAGGATTCAGGGTCATTTTTGGATTGGATTCTTGGATTGGAGAGTTGACAGCAACAGATTCCAAATGCAAATAGCACACTTGAAATGAACTCTGGACCTTTTATCTGCTTATTGTAATTGGGATAATGAGGGAATAACACACACCTGGCCATGGAACAGCTGAGAAGCCAATTGTCCCATTACTTTTGGTCCCTTAACAAGTGGGAGGCACATATGCAAACTGTTGTAATTCCTACACCGTTCACCTGATTTGGATGTAAATACCCTCAAATTAAAGCTGACAGTCTGCAGTTAAAGCACATCTGGTTTGTTTAATTTCAAATCCATTGTGGTGGTGTATAGAGCCAAAAATGTTAGAATTGTGTCGATGTCCCAATATTTATGGACCTGACTGTATATATATATACAATAGATGAAATATAAATGCGATCATATATATCAAACATAAAAGAATAAATCACATAACATAGATATATAATTGTGACACAATAAGTGATGAATAAATTTGGTGATCAATAAAAATACGTGACCAAAAAATGGATAATGACAATCAAATAGATCTCATAACGTGCATAAACTACAGTATGTGAAAACAAAGTGAGCAAAAACAATGTTACCATGCACAGTCCTAATAATCTGTGTATCTTCATAACGTTGTGACACATCCAGTGACCACTGCAACAAGTAATCCACCACCAGCTAAGGTGCACGCTCACTTCCAAGCTGCGACCCACAAGGGGTCATATGACTTCAACATACACTCAAAAACGATGCTATTCCCGTATATCCCTTTTGGCTTAGATCAGGGCAATCCTCTTGCCGGAAAAACTCATGCGTGGACAGAAGCATGGTGACGTCATTTACAGCGCAGACAGCAGCCACCATCTTGGTACACCTCCGTGTATACACCTGTTTGCTATTGCGGTTTTTATGCCTTTGGCTCTGTGGACCCTGTGTTTTTTTATGTGAGTAGGCACTTTTCTGTTTCTTTTCCAATAAATGCCTTTATTTTACTACACAATAGGAAGTTCTCTGATTTAATTTTCCATGTGGGGGCCACTTGTGAGACGATTGTTTTGGCCATCTCCGTGAGGGGACATCACCACTGCTGGTACGCTCATGAGTTTTTTCGCCAAGAGGATTGCCCTGATCTAAGCCAAAGGGATATACAGGAATAGCATTGTTTTTGAGTGTATGTTGATGCCATATGACCCCTTGTGGGTCGCAGCTTGGAGGTGACACGCAGGCTAGCTGGTGGTGGAGTACTTGTTGCAGTGGCCACTGGATGTGTCAAAGCGTTTTGAAGATACACATTATTAGGACTGTGCATGGCAATATTGTTTTTGCTCACTTTGTTTTCACATATTTTAAGCACGTGTATGAGATCTATTTGGTTGTCATTATCCATTTTTTGGTCATGTATTTTTATTGATCACCAATTTATTGATCACCTATTGTGTCATGATTATATCTCTATGTTATGTGATATATTCTTTTATGTTTGATATATATGGTCGCATTTATATTTCATCTATTTTACGTTATATTTTTTTTCACTCAATATTAATAATTGTACTGTTTGTTCTTTAGTTATTGGATAGCACAGCACCATTTTTGTTATTCATCAACATGAATAAATAGGTTCAGTAAAACAATACTTCAGGTATATAAGAGCATGTCCTATCTGTAAGTGCTGAAAGAACTGTTGTGTTTCCTGAATTCATCTATGTAGTAAATTTTTGTCTGCATAGGGCTGTGATGGAAAAACTTCATTCTGTGGATGATTCATTTCGAAGGCAACTGGAGTCCATTCTTGCCGCTCATCAAGCTGAAATTATTAAAGTAGCCAGTGATAAGCAAAAGGAAGTCGAAACAGCAAATGAAAGAGTAAGCATCTAAACACCTTTGTTTGATAGTAAATTACGGTTCTTAAACCCAGTCCACACAGAAGTAAATAAATATATTCAGAATCATTGATTGCCACGTCACTTCAGTGGATTGTTTTTACTGATTAAAGCTAACCTGCTTAAAATAGTTTTATGCAGATGAACTGTTTTACCCTATTCTTTTATAAAGCTGTGTTTCTGGATGCACATGTGTTTACTGGTAAATAAAAGATTAACCCTTGTTGTTCTACCTACAACCTTTAAAGCTGAGCTCTAGAAATTCATCCAGTCTGTAAAATATGCTAGTGCACTCTCAGATAAGTGAAATGAGGTGCATGTCATTTACATCTGATGGTTTTACAGAGCTCCAGGAATACAGTCATCACTACACCCCTGAAGTTCTGACAGGAGAAACACTGTCTTCTCACTCACAGCATCTCTGCCTACCCCCTTCCCTCTACTGCCTATTCAAAGGAGCCTTTGTATTTTGTGAATGAGTTTACATAACACAAAGAACTCTGAGGTTGGGCAGAAGGAGAGGGGGGCGGGCACAGGGGCTGCATGCTACTCTCCAACTGCTGGCGGTGAGACCAGAAAGTCCAACATCAGAGCACCGGAAGTATAGCCATAGTTATTCTACTGGTGCTCTGCAAAAATGAAAAGTAAAAAAAAGATACGTCCATGAGGCACCTGATCGGACAAATGATAAACATGTTATACTCATCTGCTCTGTGCTATTGTTTTGCACAGAATAGCCCCAAACCTCCTCTTCTGGGGTTCCCTGCCAGCAATCTTTGCTCCTCCTCGCACTTCATAGATACACACAGCATGGCTCAGCCCTGCCCCCCGCTTCCTCCTTACAGCATTTGATTGACAGCAGCAGGAGCCAGTGGTTCTTGCTACTGCCTTTGTTCCTGTGTGAAGAGGAAGAGAGGGATGAGAAGTGATGCAGCCATGCACAGCACTAGATTGATTGAGGGTTCAGGTAAGTAATTAGAGAGAGGTGGGGGAGGACAAAGCTGGAAAACTGTTTTTACCCTTAATCAAGGTATCGTTTTGGCTTTAGAACTACTTTACTATGAATAATCCATAACATTTTCCAGAGCGTCTGAATTCCTGATGTTCAGCTTTATGGCTGGATTCACAATTATTTGAAATGAGTGGCAGCGCTTGTGCATTTTTTTTTTTTTAAACATGTTTTATAATGCATTGATATACATTGCCATTTCTATCGAAACACTTAGAAGAAACATCAGTAGATGAAAAAATATACTTTTTTTTTTTTTAATGTTTGCATGTTCATGTCAACTCACCCCATATATAGTGCATTCATAAAGTATTCATACCCTCTTTGCTTTTTTCAATTTTGTTATATTGATATTACAGCTGTTTAAATAAAAAAAAATTTTCACAATCTTTATTGATCATTCTTCAATAACAATTTTGGGTGCTATTTGATGATCTGTGGTGTGCTGGCGAATATGTACTGTACATATGATCTGTGATGTCTTCAGTTCCAACTGGATGTTGCTTCAGCACTGACTACTCCTAAGCCTTATTTAGGAAAGTGTAAATTAAATTAAATATTGGCACTCCTTTCAAAGACATGTCCACTCAATTGAATTTACCATAGGTGTACTCCAATTAAGGTGCAGAAACACCTTGGCAACGATCAAAAGAAATGGAAGACACCTGAGCTAAATTCTAAGTGTTGTTGCAAAGTGTTGTCTTATGCCAATGTGATATTTCAGTTTTTCCTTTTTTATACATTTGCAAAGATTTTTAAAATTCTGTTTTCACTTTGTCATTATGAGGTACCAAGTAGATGAATGAGAAAAAAAAAACTGTAGTATCAGGCTGCAACATAACAAACTTGAAAAAGTGAAGTGGGCCTGAATACTTTGACTGTATTTAAAGTAGTACCAATAAAAAACAATGGCAAACCTTCACATGTGTTAATGCATGTTAAAATGTATCTGTGAAATAAATGTAACTGATCCCTGAATGAGTAGCAAAATTGCATTTCTAAGGATGAAATGTAAAGAAGTTGAAGAGCAAGCTTTTAAAAAACATTTTTCCCCTCTTCAAATATTATAAATAACTAAAAAAAAAATATGACAGTGGATATCAAAGAAAACAAGTCAATTAAACCAACAGCAAACGGTATGCTAAATGCAGACAAAATTACAGATCAGTTGGGCAAGGAAGTTTTTATGTAAATGAGTCCAGAAATTAAGCAAAGATGTATTTCTTGCCTGGACTCATTTTGCAAAAAAAATGTCCTTGCCCTACAAATCCATGATTTTGTTTTCCCATTTAATTTACCCTTGTTTGCTGTGGTTTCATTAACTTGTATTCTTTGATTTCCATTGTACTGATGGGTATAGAAGTGAACCATGACACCATGCCTGGAGAAGCTTGCATCTCAAAGAGGTGCTTTGTAATATGTACAGCTGTTTACATTGTAGTGATGTCAGCCAGTTAAAACTAAGCGCCATACGCGATCTGTCACAATGCTCAGTTTGAATTTTAGGAAATGATCACCTGGGGACTAAAGATCGGATTTGGGAAAGACCTAAATCACTAAAAACTTTATCATGCTTATTGAAAAATCAGATTTCTGTTTTAAATCAACAAAAGGTTCATTGTGATGGATTGTTTGCTGAAATTTGTACATTGATCTGTCTTTATAAATATGTATAAATTTATAAAAAAACTGTATAAATTGTCAGTTTTTTAGTTTTCATCCTACAGCTTTCATACTTCCTCAGGTTCACATAATTCCTTAGGTTTTTGAGTGCAAATCAGATGCGGTTTGCTTTGAACAGCAATGCATTTTTTAATATGGTTTACAGCAGATTACAGAAAAAAATTTATGAAACTTCACATTCAACTGTATGAAGTGAGATTTCAAATTACACTTTCACAGTCGCATTTTTCAAAAAATGCACTGCGACTCCAACGTATCTGTGTGAACATACTCAAAGGAAGACCTTCATTTTCATTTGCCTTGCAAATTCAGACTCTCAGTTCTCATCAGAAAAAGCACGTGTGAACCAAAGAAAAGAGTTTTACATTTTGTCAAAAGTAAAATAATGTGATGGTAATGGTAGAATTCACGTGTTCTGTAATGGTAGAATTCACGTGTTCTGTCACATCTTCAAAGAACCACTCTTGCTGTACTCTGTTGTAAATGGACTATTTTATAACTTTACTGTGTGAATAGGACTTGTTAAAAGATGTGCTGATAATGTGTGGCCCTGCCATGGATATTCTTTACTGAGTTTTAGCAAGACGTTGTAGATTTCCTTTTTTTTTTTGTTTTGTTTTTTGAAATAATAATAATATATAGCATCCTTTACATTATTTTTCTGTCCCCGAGTTTTTATTTCAGCTGATTTTGATATATATTTCTACAGATGTAGCAAGCTGCTTAGCCCCTCATACTGCCGTTATTTATTTTGTACACAAATATCTTCTGTAATTGCACCACATCTCCCCCGCTGAGAGCAGATCGTCCTCGTGTTTCAAAGGGAGGACTCTGAAAGCAGATTAAAACTGTTTAATGGACATGAATCTTTTGCTTCAAAAGTAAGCTTGTTAAAATCACTAACTTGGACTCATGATTTCAAAAGAAGATTCACACTGTTAGATACTGTATTTGGACTTGCAAAGTTTGAACATTAAAATGATATGAAATCATGTTGGAATGAATAATTAAAGGACAACTTTAACCCAGCAGCACAAATGTATCCCTTTGAGTAAGGCGTGTGCTTGTGCCATTGCTTTATCTTGTCCGGTGACTCATCAAAATATAGAAACCATATACCTTGCAGTGAATTATAAGATATAATGATTCACCTTGGAATAAAGACCTTTTTATAAATTGTTTACAGAACTACTGAGTGAATCCTAATATCCTTATAGCTTGAAGTAAGTTGTACATGATTACTCATACTTGCTGGTCAGCATTGGATGTTAACCTGATTGACTTTAGTGATGGCGTGGTTTGTGACCCTGGATCTATAGAGTAAAGTTCCCAAGGTGAGTATAATTTAGTTAATTGCCTTGTTTGAAGGTCCTCTGAGACAGATTTTCTGCTCTTTAATACATCCCTGACTAGTTTTTCTTCATATTTATTTCACAAGAATAGCAAGCAGTGAATGCCGTATAATGCAGCCTGATGGTTTGTCACAGGAGTAACAAGTAGAGAGCTCTTTCCCATGCAAATTTCATTATTCCTGCTCCCTCAGTTTACCACTGAATGGTCTAGATCAGTTGGCTCCAAACTGCGTTTTTTTGCTTGCCTTTATCTGGCCCTTGAGGGCACTATTTCTCCCACTGACCTCAATAATGAGGCACTGTTCTTCCCACTGATATAAATGATGGAACTCTATTCCTCCCACTGACACCAATGACGGGACACCATTCTTCCCATTAATTCCAACAGTGGTCACCATTCCTCCTGCTACTGCCCATTTTTTTTACTCCCACTGATTAACAAGTCTGAGGCATTGTTTACTCCCACAAACTATGGCGCATTTTCTACTTCCAGTGACCACAGTCCAGCCCCCCTAAAGCATAAATGACAGTAAACTAACCCTTTGTATAGAAAGTTTGGAAACCCCCTGGTCTAGAGGAAGATAGACTGGAATATGTAACAGATATAAATACTGTGTTTATAAGCCTCTGAAGGTTATATTATATTATATTATAGTCCTGATTAGCCAAAACCTTTTATAAGAGTAGGAAAGTGTTAAAACCTCTGCCAGGATTTTATTGGTGTCTTGCTGGGGACATTCACCCTGTCCACCCTGATCATTGAGACATAAAGTAATAGGAAAAACAGTCTTTTTAAAATTTTACTGGAAAAGAATGTCACACTAAAGATCAGCAATGGAAGCCTCTCGGATCAAGTTCTCTTTACAGTATATATGAATACACACCCATACTAACACATAGTTAAAATGGTTGTAAAGGCTCAATTTTTTTTTTACCTTCATGCATTCTTTTGGCTCCTGTCGCTGTCCATCACACCAATGAGCCAAGGCGAGTCGTGGCTCTGAGTCGTGGCTCTATGTGTCTCAGGAGCAAGCACGCACCAGTGCCCCCAGAGCAAGTGGCTTGCTAAGGGGGCACTGGCTGAAGAGGAACCAAGAATGCCGGCAGGAGACCCAAGAAGAGGAGGATTGAGGCTGCTCCATGTAAAATCACTGCACAGAGCAGGTAAGTATGACATGTCTCCTAGATTGTAAGCTCCAAGGAGCAGGGCCCTCCTATCCCTCTTGTATTGAACTGTATTGTTGCTGTATTGTCTCCATTTATATTGTAAAGCGCTGAGCAAACTGCTGGTGCTATATAAATCCTGTATAATAATAATAATGTTATTTTAAAAGAAAAAAAAAATGAACTTTTAATGTCACTTTAAAGATAATATATTGTGACCATATTCAATTACCTTTTAAAAAGCAGACTTCTTTTGGTTTACTTTTTTTTTTTTTTTGCAGGTTTTATTTTTCAGTTACATGACTGCATAGCATTTTATCCCATCCTCTTCTATCTAGCAGGGGGCAGGCATTTCATTACATCACTGTGTTCCCCATCTGTGTATGTGGCTTTATGTGCTTTCTGGTCTTCATACTCCACGGACTGTACCTCTATACTGCAGGCTGTGATTTGCTAATGCTTTACAGCCTGACTTCAGTTAAGTGCGATATCACTTGAATTAGGTCTGTGTGATCCAGAATGGAGGCTAGGGACAGCAAACACTCAGACAACTAGCCAGGGCAGGGTGAGGGACCTGCCCAGTAAATAGACTATGGAAGATATGGGTAATTGATTGCAAGTCTAGGGGTGCACACTGACCAGGCGAGCACAAATCTGCTTCTGTGCTTTATGTGGTCATTTTAAAACAAGTAGAAAAGGAGTGGCAGGATCAACCAGGTATTTCTGTTGTATAACTTGAATTAGACTAATAGATAAAAAAGCATAATTTTTGGGTAACATACACTGTAAAGTATTTCTGTCCAAAACGTTTAGTTTAGTAGTTAAAACAGTCATAATGGGAACTGGAAATTTCCCCCAAATGAGGGGAAACCCCTCTCAAACATTTGTCATCACCCTCCTGCTTCTTTCACAAATGTAAAATTGTGGGTTTTTGTATGACTACACCATTCTCTAGCACAGAGGAGTCCCCTCTCATATAGTTCTCACCTTTTGCCCAAACTAAGGACTTTCAGTTCTGCATTTCTCTTTCAGTATAACCTGCTTAAATAAATCACCAAAAAATTCACTGAATTACTGTTATACGTAACTGTTGTATGGCTGAATTTCATTTGTTTTGGAAGTAAATAACAAAAAGGTTTATGAGAGGCAAAGAACAACGGTCCTTGGTCACAAAGTCTTGTACCAGTCGTATTGGTGTTTTTCTCTGATACCCTTACGTTTACTCCCCCCCCCAAAAAAGATTTGAGTTTGTTTTTCAGTTGTACAGTTTATAGGTCACATTAAAGGTGGAAAAAGTTCTGAAATGATTTATCTTTGTCTCATTTTTTTTTACATCACAGAAACCTAACGTTTTAATGGGGGTGTGTCGACTTTTTATATCCACTGTAGGGGGAGATTTACTAAAGCTGGTGCACTTAGACGCTGATTGGCTACCATGCACCGCTTCATCAGATTCTAATTTAAGCTTGTTCAATTAAGCTTTGGCAATAAAACCTGGAAGCTGATTGGTTTCTGTGCAGAGTTGCACCAGATTTTGCACTCTCCAGCTTTAGTAAATAACCCCTATGCTGTATGTCATCCCATGACATGTCACCCATAAACAAGAGCATGGTAAACATATTAGATCATAAAACCCTTTGTGGAAGGCACTGAGATGAATGATTCTGTGTTCTCTTCAAAACATTCTATAATTTGCTACATTATATGCTGTAAATACAGGTAACTACAAAACAAAAGTGTTGCTATAATATGGCCAGAAGCCAAAAAAGCCTCACTAGTGCCCACTTTTTTTTTTTTGCAGGTTTACCAAGTAGAAGAGGAAATGCGGCAGCTCTTGCAGGAAACAGTTAACAGTAAGAAAGCCATGGAGGAAAAGATAAAGCGGCTCACTAGTGCACTGAGTGACATTCAGCAACATTTTTAACATTTCAATAGAGTGACAGGAGATGTTATGTTGTTAAACAGGCTAAAGTTGCATCTGTTTTATAGGTGTGTCAGTAGTTTAAAGGGAATCTGTATTAAGGGAAATATGCAGGCTTACGTTGCTGTGATTTCCTTCTGAAAATTTTATTTGCCTGTCTGAAAGCCAGTTAGCATGACAAAGTCCTTCAACCTCAGACCTCAGCCATACAATTAGCTTTTTTATTCGGTCAGCAATGACAGTATACATAGTTATACCTGTGCATGTGGGGTTTTTTTGTTTTGTATTTTTTTAAATCTCATACTAAAATGGAACTGTAGTGTGAAAAACCTGATGCAGCTCTTATTGGAAACCAATCAGCTTCCATGTTTTTTTTGTCAAAGCTTAATTGAACAAGCTAAAGTTAGAAGCTGGTTGGCTACCATGCAAAGCTGCACCAGATTTTGCACTCTCCAGTTTTAGTAAGTCAAGTCTTTCACCTCAAATTATACTGCAGCCTACAGGAGGATTGGGCTCTGGCAAACTGTTGGCCAGCCCAGGATGACCCCACCCCCCGTATGCCTCAGTGTCCTAAGTCATCCTGGATGGTCCCTGAAAAGGGGTACCAGCTTCTCATTCCACCATCGCTGGGCTCAGACCATCTTCTAAGCTTATTGCCTCAAGGATTGGGTTCCACACTTTCCTGTCAAGGCTCACTCTACTAGGTCTGCTGCTCATGTGTTCTCTAAGTTCTACCAGGTGGACTTTGCAGCCTCATCTGATGCCAACCTCAGACATAAATTCCTCTAGGAGACTCTTTGAACTACAGGCAGTTCTCTGTTTTTCTGGGCCTGTTGGCATTTGTTTGCTGTGTTGCCCACCCTCAGTTGGATTGCTTTTGGACTTCCTTGAAGTACAAATATTGCAAAAAAGAGGGTTTTCATACTCACATTAAAATCTTCATCTTGCAGTTCTTTGGGGGACACAGGCCGCACCTCTTATGAGCATGCTGTCTGTACTGCTTTGCTACAGAATTGAGGCATGAGGAGGGAAGGGTTGTCCTAGGCTGGGCTTCAGTTTTGTTTTTTGGGGGGATTTTGTCAAACACCCTCAGTGGACTCCAAGAAAATATTTTTTGATGAGTAAAAAAAATCCTATTTTGTGTATACATACAGTTGTAATATGTATTTGTTTTAATAAATATTTTTCACTAAAAGGTTTTGAAGCTTTTTAATTTGCCATGTTTTTAAAGAAAATAAGAGAAAGAAACAACCCAAGAACATCACAACATGTAAAAAAAAAATGCCAATAATGCAAAACATATTACACTTAAGCACAATATTGCACACACAGGGTCTGCCTCTAGAACGAAAAATCTGTCCTCAAAACATCCATTGTTTAAATTAAAGATATTCATATTTCCTGTCTAAAGACTTTTATTTTCACTACTATATGTTAACTGTACCTCCAGTTACAGTTAGGGCTGCATGTGATTGGGTGAATGCATGAAAATTACTCGTGTCTTAAATGTTTAGGAAAACAGACAAGCTGACCCTTAGTCTGGGTTCACACTAATGCTGCTACATAATCATGCATGTTTCAGTGTGTTTTTGATGTGTTTTCATGCTTTATGTTTTTTTGTAGGAAGAGATGACTGGTTGTTAAACACACAACCTTACCAAAAATGCATGTACATGTGTATTTTATGTGTTTTCATTGCAGTCTATGAGGCTGAAAACTAACTACATCACAGCACCAAAAGAAGCACCTGCACCTTTTCCAAAATCACGCTGCACCATGTGTCATTTATGTGAACAGGCGCCATAGAGTATAATTGCATTTTCCATACTGTGCATTGCAGCTTGAGAGAAGACACAGAAGAAATCACACTAGTATGAATGGGCCCTAAACTACTGAAATTTTAGTTGTTTGAAATCCTCTAGTCAACAAGTATTAAAGTGATTTTAAATCTTTGTGTTTTCTTTTTAAATAATAAACATGTTATACTTCCCTGCTCTGTGCAATGGTTTTGCACAGAGCAACCCTGATCCTTCTGCTCACTTATATTTGGGTTTTTAATACAAAACTATGCTGACACTTTAAAGAGACCAACGGAAAAAAATTTTCAGGTAGAGAACAGAAAAAAACAAGCATTTTAAATTCTTATTTGCAGCGTTTTGTTCCTTTCCATTACCAATTTCTTAACTTGTGACGTGCCTCTGAAGTGGCTAGCAAATCTGACTAGTCAAAGGCCTAGCACATTTTTGTTCTCCCTGCCGTTGGTGCTTGTTCAGAGATCTCCATTTCCTGCTTTATTAGAGCTTCTAGAAGGCATAGCTTTAATACTATTATTGCTGCTTTGTGTGTTGAATCAGAAAATACAAATTTATCAAAATGACCATACCCATGGGACCATCAATTTCAGAACATCTTATGCTGCCATAGGAGCAGGGGTGTCAAACTCAATTTCATTGCAGTCCACATCAGTATTATGGTTGACCTCAAAGGGCCGGATGTATCTGTAAGACTAGATGCCCAGAGCACCCTACATCCCCCCTTACATCAGATGTCAAGAGACTTCCCACCCTCCCTTACATCACAGTGTCTCCCTTTGCCTTATGCTGCTGCTGGAAAGAAGCTAGGGGTGGAACTGGGACCAAGAAAGTGCAGGATCTAGAGGAGGACTGGAGTCAGCTGCTGGAGTCTGCTAAATGCTGGGACCAGGGGAAGGAGAGATGAGAGGGTACTAAGGCTGCACAGAGAGGCGCAAGATGTGTAGGAGTCCTGTCCTCTCTGCTGCTGACTTTTGAGATAAGGGGGGGGTAACACAGCTGCTGAAGAAGCGCGAGGGCCACATGAAATGGCCAGGCGGGCCGAATTCGGCCCGCGGGCCTTGTGTTTGAGACACGTATGATCTAGAGATTCTAGATGCTAACAGCTAAGGATGGTTCTAAAGGCCACAGAAGTTGGTGAACAGTTGGATGGGCATTCATAATATGAGTATCTCATGATGCCTCTTGACCAACTTCTCGCCTAAATAAAAGTGTTCCTGATGAGGGCAATGGGGTAGGAAAGAGGGAAAGCAGACAGCTCTAGAACCGAGGAAACCAATAGAGATATGACGAGGTTTCCTAATCTCCTTGGCTTTTTTTATGCCCTGAGAATGCTCATTTAGTGCTATCTGTAAATCTTAAAGTGTTGAACTAGATCATGTATTGTACAGTATTGTAATTATTTTCTCTTTCTTTCCCTTTTTTTTGTAAGATTAAATAAAATTTATTGTGGTTTTTAAATCTGTTTATCATTGTAATTTTGCACCCCGAAACTCCCACACTGTGTAGTTCAACATTTTTAAATTCCAGGGATGTGGTGTGATTCATATATCCTGTCACTCGCCACTGCTTCACAATTTTGTAAATATTAAAGCTCAGCTTCGGGGACAAACAAACATTTACCCTTGCTGTGGGTCCTGCTCCCCACTGCAAGGGTTAACTGCAAATTTTGCCTGGAGGGAATGATGAAGAAAGTGATATACTTTCCTTAATTCATGCTACAGGAGGCTTCTTCCTCTTCATGCAATTGGTCCACTAAAGCCAGATTGGTCACAGCTCTCTGGCATCATCTCATAAAATGCAGGAACAGCAGTCCTGCATTGTATGGGAGTTTGCCGAGGGCCTGGCTGCAATCCATCAGCCTGGACAGTGGAGGAGAGCGCTGCCTGATGTGGGAGCGAAGAACAAAGTATATCACCTTAAGCATCCGGCCCTAGTTGAAACAAGTAGTTGACCCTTGTAGTAGGGAGAAGGACCCATTGCAAAAGAAATCAATTTTTTTTTTTAATAAGCTCCTGGAGTGCAGCTATAAATCATTTTCTTATCTAAAAAAAATGTAATCCATAACTATGAGCATTTTCAGTCTCTAGTTAATAGTAATGCTGAGGTCACATGGACAATTCCTGCTGCTATCAATACATCACATACCCCTGTGGAATCGCTCCCTCACTAGCCTCTAACGTTGCTGAATTTCACTTGCAAGTGACTGGGCAGCAAGGAAGCATCATCTCGCTGGTTTTGCTAGAGAGGGGGGGGGGGGGGGGGGATTCCATAGAGAATTGCAGGGAGTCTTATCACCAGCAATTTGTTGCCAGCATCAAGGTTTAAGGGTCAGTATGGAAGGGCTTTTGCTTGCTTAAGAACGGCTTATCTCCTCTTACAAGTCATTGAATTCAACAGCAGCAGCTTAAAGATGGTCAAATGCTGGTCAGGAGGAGGTCATCTGTAGGACATATGAGCACCTCTCAGTGAATGATCTCAAACTGATGTGAAAAACAAGCTGCATTTTGCCCATCCAAGCTTGTGGACACTAATCTTAAAGTGTTACTAAACCCAGGACCCTGCATCCACTATATATATAGTCTTCCATGACCCTGCATCCACTATATCTGGTTTCCCACAGTACACACAACATGGAAATGCAATTATTTTAGTAAAATATCTTTTCTCATCTGCAGTATATGGCAGTCTTGTGACTTCTATCAGTGTCCAGCAGAGCACATGTTAAAGCTTGAAAGTATTTTTAACTTTGCTCTAGTAGAATGCAGAACCCCTGACCACTGTCTGGACAGTGCTGATTGGCCCTGTGCTGATCACATGCACTCTCCCAAGAAAAAAAAAAACACCTCCTAGTAATACACACCAAAATGAGCATGTGCAGAGTCAGTCCACACGATATGTCTTATCAGGAGATGAGAGGGAACACTGGAAGAAGGGGAAGATTAGAGAGGTCAAGCTCAAACATCCTTTTTACACAATGCAGAGGATTAACCCCTTAGGTTCCACAGTGAGTATAACAAGCATGCTTTACTGCATATACAGACTGATTTTACTGCTGTGGGTTTAGTAACACTTTAAAGCTGACCACCTCTCCTGTAATTAATCTTGTATCTTATGAGAGGATTATTTATGTAATATTATATACTATACATCATGATATAGTAGTATCGTGGTTATCCGCTTCCATACCGG